TTTTGTCTTTATTACGTATCTGTATGTGATGGTTGACTATGACGGTGATGGTCGGCTGACAAGCGACCCCTGTTTGGGGCAGGTCGGCCGACGTCAGCCGGCTGGGCGACCAGCTGGCGGCCGCCGAGCTGACAGTAGCCGGGCCGGCGCCGCGGCGCGCCCCGCTCACGCCCGCCCGCCGGGACCGGCTGCGCGCCGCGCTGGGTGAGCGCCGGCAGACGCCCGTGCGGCGCAGCTCGCCCGGTCCGGCCCGCTCCCGGCTGCTGGCCACGCCGCTGCTCTCCGCGCCGCCCGCCGCCGGCCGCCGCACCCAGCCGCAGTACGAGGACATCAGTCCGGTGGGCACCCCGCCCGGGTCACCGCCGCCGAGCGCCAGCGGCGTCCGAGACAAGGCGCCGGCGTCGGCACCGGTGCAGCCTCGGAGGTGAATAACTCGAAATGTTGAGATATGATTTCAGTCATTAATCATATCAGTGATGTCGTAGACTTACAGTAAATACAGCTCAGTATACTCCCAAAGCCGCTTTGTTATCTACCGTAAGTGCCCTCTCGGCCCTGGACCCGTACTGCGGCACTGCTGATGCTCTAGTCGCTCCGGTCGCTCCCCCTGCTGACCGCTGTTCTGTTCGCAGCGCCGCCGCGCCGGAGGAGCCCCGAGATGTCAGCGCCAGCTCCGCCGGTCTGTCGTTCAGCGTTCCCACGGGAGGCGGGCTCACCAGCACTCCGCTGAAGCCCCCGGGTGCCGCCGGCGCGGCGCAGAAATCGGCCGCAGCCGTGGCTGGCGCTGTCCCGGCGTTCTCCTTTGGAGCTGCAGCCACAGCCAGTGGGGGAACTCCGGGGCCGACGGCGGCGAGCGCTGCCCCCAGCGCTGTGACCCTGGGGCTCGGCGGCCGGCCGGCCAGTGTCAGCTCGCTCGGGAGGACCAGCGGCGGCACACTGACGACGGCCCCGGGCAGCAGCCTCTTTGGCGGCAGCGGTGGGCTGTTTGGCACGCCGGCGACAGCAGCGGGCGGCAGCGCGGCTCCCAGTCTCAGCATCTTCAAAGTGACGCCCTCCGCCGCCCCACCGAGCAGTGCCGCGGCTGACACACCGGCCTTTTCTGCTGCTCCAGTGAAGACTGAGCCCGTCGCCTCCACCCCCAGCTCTGCGTCCGCACAGCCGACCAGCGGCGCCGCCTCGTCGGCCTCTGGCGGCTCACTGCTCTCCAAACTGATCTCGGCACCCGTCAGCGGCGGCTTTACCGGCAGTGGCGGCGGCTTTTCGTTCGGACTGAGCTCCGGGTCCAGTCCCTTCGCCGCCGCCGCCGCCGCCGCCGCCACCAAGCCGTCCAGTGGATTTGGAACAACGGCTGCCACTCCCAGTGGAGGAGGTTTCACGTTCGGGGTGGCTGCAGGCGCGGCCAAGACGACGCCGGCATCTAGCGCCGTCTCTGGCTCTACGACTACCACCGCGGCCACGAGCACCACCGCCAGTGTATCCGACACTCCGACAAGCGCCGCTTCCTCACCGGCCGCCTCGGCTTCCAGCGGCCTCAGCGGCGCCGTCGGAAGCCCACCGAGTTCGGCCGCCGCCGCCAGCCCAGCTACCACAGCCGCCGCGCCGCCGGCGTCCACTGCCAGCCCGTTCGGAGCCAAGGCGCCGTCCGCAGGTCCGTCCGGATCGACCACCTCAGCCACGGGCTCACCCAGCATCTTTGGAGCGGCGACAACTACCACCAGCAGCTCAGGCAGCCTGTTCGGGGCTGCTGCTGCTGGCACAAGCTCGGGTAGCTTGTTTGGAGCTGCTGTTAGTGCGGCGGGTAAAGGCTCGGGTAACATTTTCGGGACACCCGCCTCTACAGCCACGACAAGTGCAAGTGGTTTGTTTGCAGCCACTACTGCTGCCACTACTACTGCTACAACTTCAGGTAGTCTCTTCGGAACGACCGCCTCCACTGCCACTACCAGTTCGGGTGCTTTGTTTGGAGCTCCTTCCACTGCTGCAAGCTCAGGCACTGTGCTTGGAGCACCTGCCACAACTGCTACCACAAGTTCGGGAGGTCTGTTCGGAGCTACCACAACTTCTGCTACCACAAGTTCAGGCGGCTTGTTCGGATCTCTTGCTTCTACGACTACCGCCACCACAAGTTCAAGCGGTCTGTTTGGAGCACCTGCCACTACGGCTACCACAAGTTCGGGCAGTGTGTTTGGATCGCCCACTACTGCTAGCTCGGGCGGCTTGTTTGGTGGATCCACGTCTACCGCTACAACAAGCTCTGGTGGTTTGTTCGGCGCACCTGCCTCCACTGCTACCACCACCTCCGGGAGCGTGTTCGGGACGCCCAGCTCCACAGCTACTTCTGGCAGTGTGTTCGGAGCGGCGACCAGCGGCGGCAGTATATTCGGATCCCAGCCTTCCTCGGCGGCTGGAACCACCGCCTCCTCCGCCTCGACAGGCGGCAGTGTGTTCGGAAAACCAGCCGCCGCCAGCCCTTTCGGAGCCGGCACAGCGGCAACTGGTAGCGTCTTCGGCGCAGCGTCAACCCCCAGTGTGTTTGGCAGCGGAACGGCAACATCGCCCACCTCCAGCGGCAGTATCTTTGGAGGAGGCTCCGCCACCAGCCCCGCGTCCACCGGGAGTATCTTCGGCGGGGGCACCGCCACCAGCTCATCGGGTGGAAGTATCTTCGGCGGGGGCGGCGCTGCCACGAGCACGGGCACCGGAAGCATCTTTGGCGGAGGCGGTGGGACCACCACTTCCTCCAGCAGCATATTCGGCGGCGGCGGCGCGGCTCCCACGAAGAGTCTGTTCGGTGGGGCGGCCTCCGGTCCGTCGGGCAGTGTGTTCGGGGGCGACGCAGCCTCCTCCGGCGGTAGTGTGTTCGGGGGCCCCAGCTCCGCTCCGGCGACTGGCAGTGTGTTCGGCGGCGGCGCGGCCTCCAGCTCGTTCGGAGGCGGTGGAACGAGTGTGTTCGGCTCCACGGCGCCGGCGGCCAGCACCGGGAGCGTCTTTGGAGGAGCAGGTCAGTCGGGGAGCCGCACTGCGGTGTGGGGCGGTGCGGGGAACGGCCCGCTGCCCATACTGTGCGGGTGGAATGATAACTGCGCCGTTTTTTTTGCTCTTTAATCTCATTTCCTGATTGCATCTTCATAGCACGATGACTTTTTTGAACACGTTCCCTTGGTTGTTTGGCTAATGCGTGTACCTTCCCGTTTCGCTGTCGATGCTTCACTCTTGTTAAGGAGGATTTGTAGGCCTCCCCTCAAATCATCAATGGGTGCGTACTTTCCCTGTCGTCCGGTCCGCAGCTGCTAGCTGTGCCTCCTCCGCTTCATTTTCCTATGTAATACTGGGAACTAACTTCCTTTCTCCCCATCAGCAGCCGGCGGTAGCGGCGGCGGCGGCGGATTCGGCGGCTTCGGTCTCGGCGGTAAACCGTCTCCGGAGAACGCCAACAGAAACGTGTTCGGCGGGGGCACCACGTTCGGCCAGGGCGGCGGCGCCAGTGAGTATTGTCCTCCACCCCACAGTGTTATATGTTAATTCCTCGTTAACTGCAGTAAGGTGACCTAGTTTGCGAAGAGTTGCATGGTAGTAGTTATCTGGATACAAAAGCTATGCATACCATAAATATGAATCAGTTTTTGTTTTTGTTTTTAAATAGATTCACTGAGCGGTGCCAGCCGCAACGTCTTTGCTTTAGTTTTTTTTTTTCGTTCAGGCTAACTGTTCGGCGGAAAACGAAAACGTCACTCATATGTCATCTCTTGCCGTGCACAGGCTCCCTGTTCGGCGGCGGCGGCGTCTCATCGCCCGTCAGCTCCGCGGCCGCCTCGCCCGGTCTGGGCTCGCCGTCCCGGGCGGGTGCCGGTGCGTTCGGCGCAGCACCGACCTTCGGCTCCAGCCCCGGTCTCGGCGGCGCCAGCGCGTTCGGCGCGGCCCCCACCTTCGGCGCAGCGGGCGGCTTCGGCGCGGCGGCGGCGGCGGCGGCCATGCCGACGTTCGGACAGGCGGCCGCGGCGGCGCCGGCGACCGGAGGATTCGCCAGGTGAGGGCACGAAGGGTTACCCATGTGAGACTGATTGGTCAGTTGGGAGCATTAGTTCGTCCGACTTATTTGTGAAGTCATTTCTGCCTTTCTTAAAGCACACAAGTTCTTGATTGTTAAGGGCTATACTGCACTGTTTCCAGTTTCTACGAATCGCGCGCGCCCGTCCATGTTGCAAGGCGCGTGATTTAGCCTGAAGACACACTGATTACCGATAGATTCGATTCATCTAGCCGCTAAACATAGTCGGCCTTCTAGCCCCCACCCAGTGGTTATTAGCGCCCGGGCCTGACCTAGTTATGTGTATTTGTTCGTTAGTTTCGCGGCGGCCGACGCTCCGTCGTTCGGCGCCGTGGCCAACCAGGGCTCGCCGGCGTTCGGAGCCGGCAGTCCGCAGGCGGCAACACCCGCCTTCGGAAGGTAAGCGGCGGCTCGAACCGCCTGGGAGGATAGAACACTCTTGAGACAGAGTCGGACGCTGCGACGAGGTGGCTGATCTGCATGGCGTGCTATAATACATTGGGTCACATGGTATGCTGCATTCCACGACAAAATGTTGGAAAAGCCAGGGACGATGATCGCGCAGGATGCAATGCCAGTTAAGGTTGATCCATTCTCGCCCACATTATAAAGTGTGCCTGCTCAAACATGCATAAGTCAGCATCCTAATGAGCTATATTCGATGTTGCGTTTTTGACCTGGCTATGTCGCAGTTACTGGCGGCTAACCCCCGGGCCCGACCCCGTCCCGTTCCCAGTGGTGGTGCCAATTTCGGCTCGTGGAGATCATGAGCGGACGTCTAAGGTCTGATGCGGCCGGGATCTGCGGCGGAGCACCAGAGCGGCATTCCATGTGTGTCTGCCAGGCGGGGGCTGCCCCTCGAGCGAGCGGTGCCGACCGCAGGCCCCGCTGTGACCACCAGCCATTGAGAAAACCGTGACTATTTACCGGCTTTGGGAGAAATACATACGCATTTGTTGATATTTGTTTGTATTGTCGTAAGTGAGTTGTGTTGAACGTACATCATTAGACACTATCAATCACATCAAATAGGTTCGTTCGCACACAAAACAGGTATCATTCATGTGAGACAGCCAGCACTAGATGAACGCACGCAAGCTAACAGGCCGTTAGCACTATGTGACACAGGGACACTTTAGATGTCATCCCACACAAGTTCGACAACGGGTATATCACAACGTACTAACATGTTACAATGTTTACGATAAAAATCACAGCAGCATGGGACATGGCAGTGGCCGGAGCGGCGGTGCCTAACTACGCAAAAACGTGGCGGAAGACACAACATGGGAATGGGGAAACTAGCTCGGCTGGAGGGGAGCTAACCAGCATCACTCAGCAACATAAAAATGCTCAAAGGAGAAAGGACCATCGTAAAAACAGGCGTACAAAATTAGCAAAGCTACCTTACAGTCAGAACTCCGAGATGACAGCATTGAAATGAAATATCTTACGTAAATTCGGTAACCGGAAGGATGTAATCTGAGAAAGAATACGTTTGAAAGACGAAGCTCATAGAAGAGTGAGTTTAGGAAAAAGGAAAGTGTACCTAAAGCTAATGAATGTATGATTTCAGAGGACGGCAATTTTGTCAAACCTTGCGAGGACACACAGACGTTGGCACCTCCCTCAACCAGCCCCTTTAACCCTATTCCTGGCGGGCTCCGCCGGGACAAGAAACTGGCGGGGGGGGGGGCGATTCGGCCCCCCCCCCTGAGATCTCGAGAACGAAGCAAGATAGCGACAAACGGTAAACGGCATCGGATACGCACGGTCAAGATCTACAATTTTTACTAAGGTCATTTTCAGGTCAGGTCAAAGATGACGTCACAGGGGTCGAAAAAGTCAAAATGGCGGCGCTAGATATGGAGAGAGTTTTTCTCGAATAACTTTCGAATTAGTCAAGATAGGAACAAACTAAGGGCAGCATCGTGATCCTCTCGTCAATCCGCATCGAATGATATATATGTTGACCTCGCAAGGTCAAGGTCAAAGGTTGACCTCAGGTCACGTGACCTCGAGGTCATCATGTATATCATTCGATGCGTCTTGACGAGCTGAACACAATGAGACCATCCACGCGTCTGTATCTTGTTCCTGTACGGAGTTATTGGCCAAAAACCTTTGGTGACCTTTGATGACGTCACATGACCTCACAGCTGCCCAACAGCAAAACAGACCTCAAGGTAGTGAAGGTTGATCGTATATGAAGTCATGTATGGTATATGGGGCCATTCCGACCCGTTTTAGTGGTAAAAACAGGGAGTTGATTTTTCCCCCATTGACTTATAATGGGGAGGTCGCGAAACTGACCTGACCTTAGGTCACCGATATCAAAATTCCGAGATATACAAATTGCACATACTGGTACCCTAACTAAAGCCTGAAGAGAAGAAATTGATCGGTCAAAAACTCTAGCTCTGGCGTGATTGCAAACTTTTCTGAGGTAGGGTCACCAAACCGCCTCTGGTGACCTGACCTGAGGTCAGATCAACTCAAAATTTTCAGACATGTTGCGTAGAAGCCTTTTAGGAAAAGTCAGAAAATTTGAGCTTCCTAGCTCAACGCGTTTGGGAGAAATAATCAAAAAACCTCAGGGGGGGGGGGGGGGGGCTCCTGAGGCCCCCCCGCCAGGAATAGGGTTAAGCGCCCTCCCCGGGCCGTCAACATTCCCCCCTCGACCCCTCGCCCTTCCCTAGTCCCCACCCTCCCCCAGTTCATCGCCGCGTTCCCTGCCGGCCGTCTCTGCCGACAGCTGCTGCAGCAGCGGCGCCAGCTGCTCGGCATACACGGGGTGGTCCGATCCGTGAGTGACACGGAGCACGGCGGCCGCCCGACGCAGCCAGCGCGCCGCCAGCGCGTGCTGGAACCGGTACAGCGCGATCTTACCCACCTTCAGGTAGAAGATGCCCGTCAGCGGGCTGCACGGACCGTAGAACGTCCTGCGGGTGGAGAGGGGTGTGAGCTGATGGGGGAGGAGACACTGCACTCGGGGAGGACGCGCCAGGAGAGGCGATTCGACTGCATGAGGGGCGCACGGTAAGGTGAATCATGAAGGGATATTTCCCATTTCGCTGGCCCGCTGACCTGTAGCCTTGCTCCCTGTACTGGCTGCCTGGCAGCTGACCAGGCAGCCCTGCTCTCGACTGGCCTATACCCGGCCTGCCCCCCCCCCTCGTACTGAACTGTAGCAGACCTGGATTTCATTCCCCAGTTACGGACAGCCTTGGACTGGCCTGCAGCCATGCTCCCCTCTACTAACCTGTATCCGTCCTCGAGTTTGCTCCCCAGCTCCACACACCACTCCCTGTACTGGCCTGTAGCCCTGCCTTTCTGTACTAACCTGTATCCGTCCTCGAGTTTGCTCCCCAGCTCCACACACCACTCCCTGTACTGGCCTGTAGCCCTGCCTTTCTGTACTAACCTGTAGCCGTCCTCGAGTTTGCTGCCCAGCTCCAGACACCACTCCCTGTACTGGCCTGTAGCCCTGCCTTTCTGTACTAACCTGTATCCGTCCTCGAGTTTGCTGCCCAGCTCCAGACAGCGCTCCCACATGTCCGTGCTGATGGCGGCCTCCAGCGTCAGGTCGAGCGTCTTGACGCGGTAGACGTTCAGCGGGTGCAGCATCGCCGCCTCCTGGCGCTGCAGCAGCCGCAGGCAAAAGTCGTCGTCTGCCGGCGGAGGGACGAGGTCTGTGAGGGGTCGGGGGATATCGCTGTATTGTACGCCGACTACCGGAAAGCAATAGCACTGTAAGGTGGCTGGGCTGCTGGAGGGACGGTGGAAAAATCGCAATATATGCGCGCCGCTGCCCCTAACTTCATTACACGAACGTAGAAAAGGGCTTGTTGTCTCAAGAAGAAAACGAATACACCGTCATGTAGCGGTGTAACATCACACATATACATAAGGCACATAGACGGCATAAAATAGACAGCATATTAAGCGGCACATATCAAAACATATACCTACTCGAACCCGACACAACACGGCGTTTATTCTGTCCCCCACTCACAGACGGTGTTGTCCTGGGCGTACGTCCTGGTGAGCCGGGCGATCTCGTCAAACTCGGCTCCGATGTCGGCCGGGTAGTCCTGGTAGCGACAGCGGGGACACCGCGGCGCCGCTCCGTCCGACGGCAGCGGCACGGTGGCCGGGCAGTCGGCCGAGCCGCAGCGGAGGGCGCGCTCCAGGCCGGCCGCCGCGCCGCCCCCACCCCCGCCCGGGGCAGAGCCGGGGGCGGCCGAGCAGCGCACGCAGTCGCAGTCGAAGAAGTAGCCGTTGCGCAGCTCTCGGCGCCGGGTCTCCGTGTCGGCCATTGTGTCGATGTAGCTGATACGGACCTGGGAGCGGCAGGGGGTGAGATGTCAGGATGTTATCCGAGACAGAAGTACTAAAATTACGCAGCCGACGTCCTTAAAATGCGATAGAAATCCCAAGCCAAATAGAATTCGTAGCTCTTGAAAGCCCACCCTCCCCCGACGATCTGTTGAGTTGAGACCCACCTCGGACTTCTTTCCAGGTTAAGTCGCTGACTGGTTGAGGGACCCCCTCCCAGTTCCTCAGTTAATTTCCCACCTTTTCCCAGGTGAAGTCTGGTATGGGCTCGGTGGCCCGGATGCTCAGCGTCCGCCCGTTGAAGGTGGCCGCCGCGTTCGGCTGACACGAGTGGTCGATGATGGAGGCGGACAGGTAGATGCCGGTCGCCACTGGCAGCATCTCGCCGTCCAGAATGTTGAAGCCGTTGACACACACCTGGTCGGCAGTCGCAAAGGCGTGGAGCTGTTAGAACTCCTCTAAGCGGTACAGATGAGTTTGTATATACATCGGTCTCAGCCCAGATGGACCCGGGACATATCAGAACCGCTGAACAAAATCAATCAGCTACAATAGCTGAAAAAAACACTGGCACACTGAGTTTTTAGTAAATGTGAACACTGCCGCATTAGGTACCTTCAATGAAGCAAAAGAAAGTGCATGCGCAGGAGACACCAACGCTTTGTCATGTACGGTAATAGGCTATGGCCCCAAATAAGAAGGGTAGCTCGGTGCATTGACAAATCCGTTTAAAAAGTGGCCTTTTGTTGAGACTCTCGTCTCTGCCACCGTCGTCTGTACTCACCCGTCCGTACATGCCGGCCAGCTCGGAGTCGTTGGGGAAGTTGTCCGGCCCGAGGAACGACCTCAGCACGACGGTGAGCGCGGCCACGTGCTCCATTCGCCGCGGCGTGGCCTTGATGTCGCGGTAGTGAGACATGAGGTCCTTGAAGGAGCGGTGCCGCGTGTCCGTGATACGGTCCGAGATGCGGTCACCGCCGTTCTGAAGAGGGAACACACATGGTGGGCTGTCAGCACTCAGCAGGGTGCCCAACGTCCGAAAAAAACTTCGTGATACTGCGCAGTGTCGAATTGTCCCCACACTAAGCGTTAACATAACCCAACACAACAATATCATCAAGCGTCGCTCATTGGGAAGCTGCAGCGATGACAATGTGTACACCCTTCGAATTGGCGGGTCCTAGCCGGGCGGTGCGCTCGACTGCCACTCACCCTCAGTTTGACGATGAGCCGCGCCAGTAGCAGCGCCGTGTCGGGCGGCAGACGCGGAGACACCTTCTTCAGACGGGCGCACTCCGATCTGGGGGGATAGCCAGCCAGTCGAGAGCGACGCTAGGTCAGATCACTACCAGGAGGTAGTGCGCAATGAAGGACCATTAGGGGAACATAACGTGGCTGTACGGTGGCTAACATAGATGCAACATGATAACAGTAACAGCACGACACACAAATACACCTATACAGTGCAGTGAAAAAATAGGATGTTACGGCACAAGATCATAATACGCTGTGCCTGGTAAGTGGTAAGCAAGGTGTTTCTTGAATGGAACATCACATCACCATAAGCATACGTCTTTTCCGATCCCATTTCGATATGACATCTCCAAAGTCCCGTCCCCTTTATATTCTGAGCTCGGATTTCGGCTCGGCTGTCTCCCCCGTGTCAGTGCCCCGGTACTTTAAGTTGGAGGTCCAGATCCGCGGCGCCCACCGAAGCTCAGCTGTGTGCATTGGCACCTGGCCGCCAGAGTCGTGACTCATTCCTCCTCCCCCTCTCTCTACACAGTCGGTCTGTCCGCAGTGTGGGTCGGTCGGTCCCGCCGCGCGACCCCTCTCCCCACTCACCGGTGGAACTCGCTCCAGGCCCGCTTCTGGCACTCGCGGTCACAGAAATACATCACCTGGCACCCGGAGCACCGGTGCAGATGGTCCCGCCTGGCCGGCAGCGAACACACACACGCACACAAACACACATGTAGTGAGCACAGCCACGAGGATCTCCGGGGGTTGATAAGGGCCATGCACCGTTCGGTGCGAACGGTATCATTAATCACAACCCGTTCGGACGGAACGGTGACAACCCTCCCAAATATCCACAGGATCACGGCAAAACCAATCGTAAAACACGTGGGTATATACTTAGGTTTGAATGTCTTCCACCTCAATAGGCTGTCCAGTAGTACTACATAAGACTACTTTCATTCAATTTCAAGGACTGTTGGATAGTAAAGATGATCGTTAAAACATAGCGGCGGTACAATACAGCTGTCTGTATAATAGGCATCGCAAAGATAAGCACCGATACCGCAAGTCAGCACCAATACTCATTGATGACTAGATAATTAACTCAACTCAAATGAGCACAGTGCAAGCCACAACCAACTATTTACAGAGGCTCACTTTTCCAGGCAGTAGGAGCAGCGCACGCGGAGTCCATCCGATTTGAGAACATAGACGAACGGCTGGGCGGAGAGCAGCAGCTGGCCGCGCCGCACGTGCGGCCGTACCCCGGGCCCGGTCCTCAGCAGCACCTTGCCGCCCGGAGGGGACATGGCGGCCGGCGGCGGGTAGGGCTGAAACACACCGGACGGAGAGCTCTTAACACACCGGAGCAGCACGGAAACAGAGAGCTCACTCTAAATTACACTGCAGTGGAGAGTCTGCACACTGCAACATACCTGGGTCTTGTTTCATAATAGCCATGACAGGGCCTGCTAATAATTCCAATATATCAGCACATTTAGCCCTTTGTCATCATATGGCCTGTCCCTGTACTGGCCTGTCCCGTAGCTCAGCTGGTAGAGCATTGGCTTCCCCGTAGTGAGAGGCTCACCCATGTTCGGGTCGCTCTGGCGCACGATATTTGACACTCCTGACGGGGATGGTCTGCAGTTGGTGAGAGCAGCCGCAGCCAGTTGAAGTCAGTTGAGTGGGACAGGCCCAGGCCGTGTCCGGCTTTGAAGGGCACGTTAAACTTCTTCTAGGTATCCTAAATCCTCCCATTAATTGTGTGCTCAGACAAACCTATCTACTTCAGAACTGTACACTTGTGATGTGACAAGCTTTAATAAAAGGCTATTAACTCCTTGGCCAGCCAACTTCTTCATATTACCCATACATACAGCCTCTCCTCAATGACAATGCACCATCTCAGCATTTGACAGCTTAGCATAGGAAGCTTGCACCAGCTCACATTCAGGCTTGTGCTGCTTCACAATTCACACAACATCAGATATCTGCACCACATCAGCATCAGTTTATAGTGACCATCCCACCTCACTTTAACATTAGTTTTGGGTTGAGATAGCCAAATTGGGGTCCCTGGCTTGCACTTACCAGTTTGGGCACTCACAACATCAAGAAAGGCTTTAATTTCTAGATCTTTGATTTCAAAGTTGCAGATTTGGAGGGGCTAATGCATTTGAATGCCCCCTCTGAATTTGTGATGTCAGCGCAAATCTAGCGATTTTAAAATCTTATACTGACACCTTTATTAAGTGAAGAGGTGGTGGTATATGCTGGTTCAACCACAACATCTGCCACACTTTTTTAAGATACCAAATCATTTCTTCCAAATGACGTCATAGGAACATGAAAATAGAAGAATCCAAAAATAAACAAAAGTAATAATGTGATTGTCTGATATCTCAAAAAACAGTTACTATAGTAATTGTCAATGAAATTTTGCAGATATTCATTTTTTCTCACTCTGAAGTTAAACCAAGAGTTAAACCAAGCAACATCACTTTTATGCTAGTTGCAGTTCCTAACTTTTTTGAAGGTGGGACTGAGGGTCCCGTTAAAGGGACACTCCCACCTTAACATTAGTTTTGAGTTGAGATAGCCAAATTGGTGGCCATGGCCTGCAAATAACGGTTTGGGCACTCACAACATCGACAAATGCTTTAATTCGGAGATATGGAATTTCAAACTTGCAGTTTTCGGATTCTAAGGGGCTAGTGCATTGGTATGCCCCCTTAGAATTTGTGACGTTAGCGGAGATCTAACGATTTTTAAATCTTTTACTAAAACGTTTGGTAGCACGCGGTGGTATATCAGTAGGCGGAACTATGGTCAAGCGTACCCATTTTCGGGAACGCATTTTCGTTCCCATGTTTGGGAACGATAAACCCAAATATGGGAACGCCATGTAGGCATTATTTAAAACAAGAAAAAGAACCGTTAAATGACGTCCAAAAAATATAAAACGATCGTGAAACGCCTGATATTTGTCTCAATATTGTTGGGAAAGAGTTTGATATTGTAAGGCCCATCGTAGTTTCAAATCGTTCCCCTATTTCTAAAGCAGTCCATCATCCGGGCCGCGAGCCCAAATTTGGGAACGCTCTCGTACACTGGCGCTGCAAGCGTTCCTTATTATGGGAACGGCGTACCCAAAATTGGGAACGATTTCACCGACGCCTTTCAGGGGCTCTTTTCATTAACAAGCATCACGTCCAACGCCGCAAATTATTGTTAACGCAACAATCATCAGATGACCTTTCCGGCAAGACCGTCGCATGTTTCGCCCGGCCTTCTGCGCTTTTATTCCCGTCGATCTCGCAGCGGGCACGCCCCCCTCTGCAGGATTACGTAATTCACAACGCTCAGCGATGTTCAACAAGGTCTTCCATACCTATATCCACCGTCCGCGCTGAGGGTGGAGACATGTCAAGCACCTGTCTGTTTATCACCGATAGTTGACGAGTACAAGGAAGTATCCAAAAATGGGAACGCTGAATATGTTACACCCTCAAAACACCTAGTCCAAATGAAAATCTAGTTTTTTCCTTTCTTGATGAGTGTAAGTGGCAAAAGGCCTGGTAGGATGGGCACGAGGAATTATCGAAATCAGCATAAAAATTATAAATAAGCCACACAGAGCGAGCTATATAAGAGAAATTCCCCCAAAACGATCACGCTTAGAAACACGGAAGACAAAAACCACGCTCATGACGCTCCTTATAAAACAACTCTAAACAGCTAGCATCCAAATAAAATATGTCTTTCCGGGATGATAAAATACAGCTGGATAATTTTCAACCGCTTAAACTGAGTTTACAACAGTAGCTCGGTAAATTCACTCACGTTCCACGCGGTCGTCCGCCCCGACACAAAAGTCAACAATATTACCTCGGGACCGTCCGCGTCTTCGCTTGCATTTGTCAGCATCTGGTGTCGATAGTATGAAAGTTCATAACCAGGCGAAAATTATTATACTTTACCTCAAACTAAAAAATGCTTCATTTTCCTTAAAATTGCATGTTAAATGTCGTATAACCCATATTTCCACCATTCTGTCATTTTCAAAAAATCATTAAAAATATCATTCCACGGTCAATTTCCTTGTTCCACGGTCAGATTAAAGATAACTTTATGGAGATTTAGTAGATACTTAAATCAGCGTGCACTTTTTTGAGACGTGATGCACTTTTGAGTTTTAGTGGGAGAACGGCCGAAAAATTGCCTTCCGTTCTCATAAATGGGAACGCGCGTTCCCATATTTGGGAACTCCGTTCCCAAAAATGGGGACGTTCCTATATTTGGGTACTCATGACCATAGTTCCGCCTACTGATATGCTGCTTTGCGCGCAACAAATGCCGCACTTTCAAATAAAGTCGCTAGGAACAGTGGAGATCCCAAAAAGTAAACAAAAGTAAAAGTCTAATATCTTGAAAACCGGTGAATATTTTTCGATGAAATTTGGTAGATATTCGTTTTCACTCTTTCTGAACCGAGCGACATCACTTTCGTGCCAATTCATTAACTTTTTTTAAGGTGGGAGGGTCCCTTTAACTGCCCAACCCTTTATACTGGCTGACTGTGCCTAAACTTGTAAGATCACATCAAAATTATCATTCATTAACGATTGTTTTCATCAACACAGCACACTTAAGGCTTGAAAGTTGAACTCCACGACTTTGACTTTGACATTAGAAACAGGCTCAAAACCGTCACACTCTTATCATATCAAGAAACCACACCATATCTATGATGTGCAATGCAATGTCTAGAAATAGAGCATAAGGAAGCCATGAGAATATCTTACCTGTTAATGCATCAAATTACTGCAAAATGCAAACGAAACGCGCCAATTCTTCTTCGATCAAATTGTCTGCTGATTGTCTGTATCAAATTTCTCTCATAAGAAAATTGTGCGTCACTCATCGACGCAGCTACGTCATTTATGTAGATCTCGGTAAATCAAGTGCTTTTATATATAAAAAAAAATGTTTGCAAAGGAAGGACAAAAATATTTTTAACGATTCAGCAGTAAGTTTGAAGCATTAATGCTTTTTAAAATATTTCATTGTGCAGTAGACATTGAAATCTTTTTGTAAAAAGTAGCAATCACAATGGATAATTTTGGTTGTCATGGCAACCACAGCAGACAACAACAAATACCTAGCGGCGTCGGCGGCTGACTTCCTTCGCGACTCGCGTTGTTTGGGTGTATTGTGTAATTTTCTCGCAACGTTCCATCTGCCCTGGGTAAGCTTTATATTTATAAGAGGGCCAAGTAAATAAATAGCCGGTTATCGAAGGCAGGCAACCCGGCTCTGGTTCAGGTTTTGCCGGAATATACCTATTTGATATTGATACGGGTACCCCGTACCTACAGCTTCGGACAAATTGAAATCGCACTTCCGTTACGATATTCTCGTATATCTTATGCTATCAAAACACGTTGTTGTCATGCTGATTGCTGGTCCTTTTTTAGTTTATCCTTTTCCTCTCTAAACCTGTACGAGTGATCGATGCGGCGGACGTTCCGAAGCTGACTGCTCGCTTTACTAAAACTAAAACTCAAACTAAAGCGTCCGAGTCCGAAGTGAAAGGCTAGAGTCTAGGGAAGTTGAGTAGTGCACCATAACTCAATATTGATATCAATATCTGCAATTGGCACCCTGCGGCTCACGCAACAGCCCGGAGTCCGGGCTGGACTTTCCTAATCTCGCACCGTCTCAAAGTCTTGGACTCCAGCCCGGTCTACGACTCCACCTTTGCGCGCAAGCCCTGGCCCCCAATCCTTTGACTACCTGCGTATTGCGTAACCACCCTGATGATCGTTTCGTTGCTCCATCCCCTTGTTCCAATTTGTTCCGCTGATGACCGGGAATGTCAAAAGGTTAATTGAAGCGGTGATATAACATCCTATCCTAATGATCCATCGATAGAACACCAAGGCGTCAAGTGTGCTAAACCAAGATTCGACGAAATCACTGTGTATCGTTGGCTAACAAAAGTGGGGTTACTTTCATGTAGGACGCCGGTGTTGTGTTGGTTCGGTTCGCCCTGTGTTAGCCATTCGCAGATGTATCGCTTGATGCCATTGATCCAATGTGTTCGATACTGGCGTTGTTGACAGGCACTGTAGGAGCCGCAACAATGATGGACAACGACGACCTCTACTCGGGCTATGACTACAGCTCGGCCATGGACTTCTCGGCTATGGACGACGACATTCACTTTCAGCAAGCAATTAAAAACTCAATGACAAGAAGGCCGATGGTAAACAACCGAAGCATCGCATGCGTCGTTTATAAATCCAAGGAGCAGAGCACGTGATAGGGCACTTCGTTCCCGATATGAATCATTCATAGTGGCAATACCGCCTTTGGATGTTCATGTTTTAACAGCATTACTCATAGTTTTGGAAATGCATGGGTCATCTGGAGTTATGCGATTGATTTCCTGTAGCATGGCCGTTAAGTTGACGGCACTACGTATTAGGATTGCAAAATAAACGTTGAACACCTGGAACAATCATCAGAATGAGGCACTTTCAGTAATTGACGTTTTTCGTGTTCTCAGATGAATGATATAACTCCTTTTGATTGCACATTCCGTCATTATAAGCACTGACTTATGAAATAAGGGACAATGAAACGTTTTAAACAGCATAAATAATTCACATAGGCTGTAACGTCTCCTTTGCTGTGTATAACAGTAATAAAGGATATTGTATACCTTTAGATGCTGACTGCTGTAATGATTGATGCCGTTCTATCCTGGATGTTTTCAGGAATGCCATCGACAGGAATGTGCATTTGCCTTTATCTCAGTGTTGATCGATCATTGTTGACTGTAAATGCTCGTATTTATCAGCATCGATAGTCACAAAAGGCGGAAATTGTCGGAAGCCTATACCTTTGTCCCAGTAAAGTGAATTGCCGATTCCACCTGTTTTGATGAGCGTCTATAGTTCTCCAGTATGGGCGGGGGTTTCCGACAGTGGCCGTCCGGTCCGACTCTGTGCCGTGTCGGGCTGACCGCGCCCGTGCCGCCTGTACCGCCTGTACCGCCGTCACTGATCGGTGCCTGTCCGCGGCCCACCACTGTGCTACTATAGACCCAGAGCCGACTGCTGACCGGGATGGGCGGCTCGAGGCCGGCCACGCGCGGCCAGCCACGCACCGGCCTGCTGCGCAGCGCCGCGCCCAGCACTGCATCCGTAAGTGGGCCGCCAGTGCCGTACCGCCACTCCAAGTACCTTCCCCGTATTTACCGCACTCAACACCACCATACCGCCCCACCCAAAACGTTTGAGCATCGCATCCCGCACCGCCTCACCCAGCGCCGCCTCCGTGAGTGGGCGGTGGCGTCCTGTAATGCCGCTCCAGCTGCACCGCAACGGTATTTACCACAGCTGCTCCCGCAGCCGAGAGACACCGTTGAAATATATCCGCGGCTGCCCTCTAATGTCCGCGTCTGCCAATGCTGTCCCGTGACTCAAATGCGAGCTGCCTGCTGATGTTTCCCTCTCCACTCCGTTTGCTACAACACTACGTGGCACATGGCTGGCCTGTGCATTGCCTTTTTATGTTTGTGCTTTGTCTCAGTCTATTTTTACGCTACTTTCAATTGACTAGATATTAGTTAACCTCTCCTGTTTAAACACTCATACGCTAATTTGGTCGGATATTTTGTCTAGTTACCACATTGTCATTGTTGCATTTGGAGATTTTACTTCGAATAGCGGGCTGCGGCTGCATTTTACGTAATTAAAGTGTATGTGTATAAGCGTATCTAATGCTTGTATGTGACTGCATAGCATACTGCGTATTGATATGCATTTGGACTAATTTGGAGGGCGTGCTTGCTTTCAGAGCATTTTTTGACTAACTTCGACCGAATTCACTTCAACCTAACGAAAAAGCGCGTGTGTCATTTCGTAGTTCACAGTCTGTCGAGTGCGCGTACGTCTGTGTGCCCTGTGTTTCGCTGCCGCTGACGCCCGCTGTCTGCCGGCGCGGCAGTTCCGCGGCGGGATGCCGCCGATGACGGGCCGCCCGCTGACCGGGATGACGTCCGGCGACGAGAACCGGCCGATGACGGCCGTCAAAGGCGTGGGCTACTCGTCTGCCGGCGGCCGCCAGTCGGGCTTTGAGCGTGGCCGATCCGGCCTGGAGCCGCACTCGTCCCAGACGTGAGTACCCCGCCGGCTGGGATTGTGTCTAAGGGATGCGGGGTAGGGTGGGACGCACTGACCGCGGTGTGTTGGCCGGCGGAGCTGCCGCCTGCGACGGTGCAGCGGGCACTGGTACTTACATACCATGTGGTTGTCTGCCGTATCGAGCCGCACACTGACTGTATCCGCGTCTGCTCGGACCGCCCGGACCTCACCCGGTTCTGTGTTTCAGACTGGAGGACACGTCCAACCAGTAAGGGGCTCGGCCTGCCGTGTGCTCCCGCTACGCATAATGTAGCCTCCCTGTCTAATCGCTCGACGCTCGTGGTTTCTTATTTTGTTCGGGCCCTGATAAACGCATGTCTTATAACTAGTACTTGCCTTCCCTGGCTGAATGCTAAACAGCTCTGAACTGGTGACTCTGGTCCATCATCCCATCCACCACTGTGTTTATGGGGCTACCACATGCCCTAACCTTTCCCAATCCTGCTGCTATTTCAATCCTCCCGCGCCGGTCGTTTCGACGCTGAGCCGTTTGGGTCGATCTGACGCTAAGCCGGTCGGGCTAGCCGCGGCACGCTGCACAGCCCGTTGCAGTGGCGTGGAGTGGCGCACCTACACTGCACCGCCAGTGGGGAGCTCCGCTGCTTCCATCAGATTGGGCTGAACTATATGTGTACATAGTTTTGTGGGTGATTGTTTGGCTCGGCACGCTGCTTGATTTTCCCACACCACCGTTGGTCATTGTGTCAATAATCAAAGACAAAAGTGCTGACGGCGGCAGACTGGACGTGGAACACCCAGGACATGTCCGGAGCAGAATTCTGCGTCTGGATCATAGGATGCCGTAAGCTCTATTCGCTACGCCTCGCCGAGCGCCAGCTGCCATTCCGCTGCTCAGACAGAGCAAACAGCACCTGGCTCACGGTCTGTGCAGTCTGTCTGGTCAGTGTCGTGTCAGCACCCCCGCCTGATGACCGTTTCCGCAGACCGGAGGAGCGGGTGCGTCAGCTGGAGGCGCGTGTCATGGCGCTGGTCGAGGAGTCCTGTCTGGCCAGCTGCCGGAACGAGGATAAACTGGCGCTGGACCGGGCCAAGGAGGCGTCGGCCAAGGAGCGCACCCTGATCAGACACCGCGAGCAGGCCGGCCTCATCGACTCGCACAACCTCGAGCTAACTTTCGTGGTGAGTCGCCGCCGGGCGGGTGTGAGATGGGTCTGTGGCAGGCAGTGAGGGGAGTCGGGTCGCTAGGGATCTGAAGCTTGTGTCTTGTATGTGGTGGACGCAGCTGCTAACCATTCACGTCCGATGGAATAGAGGTGTGACTTGATGAAGCTGCTGGCCCTGACTCCTAATGCTAACTGAGTTGCGAACTTCACATTTTCGACCGTCTACTGACTTCACTGTCCTCCGCCCGTCCAGGTGCTGACGAACCTGGCTCACCAGTACGCCAAAAACGAGCTCTACACTGAGGCACTCAACACCTACCAGGTCATCACCAAGAACAAGAACTTCAACAACGCCGGCCGCCTGAAGGTCAACATGGGCAACATCTACTACAAGATGGGCCAGTTCCCCAAGGCGCTGAAGTTCTACCGGATGGCGCTCGACCAGATCCCCAGCGGACAGAGCTCCACTAAGTACGGCGATCGGTGCCCATGACTGATATCGTTACAGCTTTGGTTCTGTATGAACTTAACCCTATTCCTGGCGGGGGGGGGGGAGCCTCAGGAGCCCCCCCCCCCCCTGAGGTTTTTTGGTTATATCTCCCAAACGCGTTGAGCTAGGAAGCTCAAATTTTCTGCCTTTCCTAAAAGGCTTCTACGCAACATGTCTGAAAATTTTGAGTTGATCTGACCTCAGGTCAGGTCACCAGAGTCGGTTTGGTGACGCTACCTCAGAAAAGTTTGCAATCACGCCAGAGCTAGAGTTTTTGACCGATCAATTTCTTCTCTTCAGGGTTTAGTTAGGGTACCAGTATGTGCAATTTGTATATCTCGGAATTTTGATATCGGTGACCTAAGGTCAGGTCAATTTCGCGACCTCCCCATTATAAGTCAATGGGGGAAAAATCAACTCCCTGTTTTTACCACTAAAACGGGTCGGAATGGCCCCATATACCATACATGACTTCATATACGATCAACCTTCACTACCTTGAGGTCTGTTTTGCTGTTGGGCAGCTGTGAGGTCATGTGACGTCATCAAAGGTCACCAAAGGTTTTTGGCCAATAACTCCGTACAGGAACAAGATACAGACGCGTGGATGGTCTCATTGTGTTCAGCTCGTCAAGACGCATCGAATGATATACATGATGACCTCGAGGTCACGTGACCTGAGGTCAACCTTTGACCTTGACCTTTCGAGGTCAACATATATATCATTCGATGCGGATTGACGAGAGGATCACGATGATGCCCTTAGTTTGTTCCTATCTTGACTAATTCGAAAGTTATTCGAGAAAAACTCTCTCCATATCTAGTGCCGCCATTTTGACTTTTTCGACCCCTGTGACGTCATCTTTGACCTGACCTGAAAATGACCTTCGTAAAAATTGTAGATCTTGGCCGTGCGTATCCGGTGCCGTTTACCGCTTGTCGCTATCTTGCTCCGTTCTCGAGATCTCAGAGGGGGGGCCGAATCGGCCCCCCCCCCCGCCAGTTTCTTGTCCCGGCGGAGCCCGCCAGGAATAGGGTTAAGGGCATTTATCATACGATTGTAAGCAACGTTATTTATTTATTCAATTATTTATTTTAAATCCGGGAACGTTCTTTCAAACTCTCGTTATCGAATACCTCTAATTCGTTTACTAATTTGTTTCATTTAGGATGTGTCATAAAACGCGTTTCACATTTTCTGATTGCAGGATCAAGATAATGCACAACATCGGCATTCTGTTCGTAAAGATGGGTCACTTTCCTGACGCCATCACCAGCTTCGAGTTCTGCATGCACGAGAAGCCGTCATTCCGCATCGGTAGGTGGACTGGGGCCGACTGGTGGATAGCTGGGCTAGCGTGGGAAGGGAAAAGGACCCGGGTGTTGTGAGAGTGCTGTCACCGTGCCATGCCTTAGTAATGTCGACTTTGCAGTAGGTAACTCTGTGTTCGCATTTTGGCAGGTCTGCACCTGGTGGTGTGCTACCACGCCATGGGTGACCGCGCCAAGCAGAAGGAGGCCTTCCAGAAGCTGCTGCAGGTGCCTTTCGACATGGAGAACGAGGACAAGTACAAGGACCTCGAGGTGCGTCAGACTCGCCGCTCGGGTCGGGGTTCGCTGCTGGCCAGGGCTCATGAGTCGTGTGGATGGGGTGCTATTAGTTATAGCACATGTCTATTGTCCGATGTCAATGCCTGGATACTAACCTCCTGTCGCCTCCTCTCCAGCCGCTCCTGCAAGTGCAGCCGCGTGGTTGTTCAGTTCCTTCCCAGTCTGTCCTGCATCCTGCTACGGCCCCGTCTCTGCTCAGTACTCGGTGAGGTTCTGGTGACAGTCTAACGGCGATAGAGGTGGGATTACATATACGGCCTTAGACAACGTGATAATGCCTGGCAGTTCCGGTTCAGTCGTCCACCGATCAGTAATGCTTTGCTGTCAGGCTGCTTGTAATGTATATACCTATTGATTTGCGGACCAATGTTGGTACTGCGCCGCTCGGAAATAAAAGTAGCTGACCACTCCATTTATTCCCTCCGTCGCCCGGCACTTCCACAGGAAGAGGCTGAGAAGGACCCGCAGACCTCGCTCGTACTGGAGGTCATCAAAAACGACCCGATGCGTAAGCTGGAGCGTCGCCTTCGCAACGAGGCGGAGCAGTGCATCCTGACGGCGGCCAAGCTGATCTCGTCGGCCGCCGGAGAGGACAGCGCACAGCTCACAGAGGCCTATGACTGGTGAGTGCAGCGCCCAGCAGTATCTGCAAGTCCTACCTGGCTTCTGATGCCACGGTGATCTGGGTAATGGATCATATAACGCTGCTGATGGGCCCATGTGCGACTCAGGTCTCCCCCCTTCCTCCCTGTGACAGGTGTGTGGACACGCTGAAGAACTCGCAGCACTCTGAGTTGGCCAACGACCTGGAGATCAACAAGGCGGTGATGTACCTGCGGCAGCGCGACTTCCGCGCCGCCATCGACACGCTCAAGGTGTTCGACAAGGTGGACACCAAAGTGGCCTCGCACGCCTCCACCAACCTGGCCTTCCTCTTCTTCCTGGTGAGTCGCACTGCTTTTGCCGAGTATTTGATCATTAACTTTACAGCAAGCATTCATAATCGTTGCTTTGTTTTGCTCTTCTGTACTTTTTATCTAAATTCATTTCTGAATTGACTTTATCTTATTCCGTCAGAGTAATGGTGGATTCCATACTTCAATTCGCCCTCACGGCATTGTCAGCCACCGGGCTCTGTGCGTGCCCATTACTGAAGTCCCCATCCACCGTCCCTCAGCGAAAGGAGTACGAGGAGGCTGAGAAGTACGCCGAGCGGGCGCGGGACGCCGACGGATACAACGCACCGGCACTGGTCAACCTGGGCAACTGCTGCTTCCAGCGCGGCGACCTGGAGAAGGCCAAGGAATACTACATCTGCGCGCTGGACAACGACGCCTCCTGCGTGCAGGCGCTCTACAATCTCGGTACGGGAGGTCTGGTGGTCCGTTGATGGATAAAGGTTTGGCATGAATCGCTCTAAAGAAACTGAACAGCCTCTTCTCTTACGAACGATAACTTGTTCTGTCTTGTGTTCTGTCTGAGCATAGCGCTTAAAGGGACCCTCCCACCTTCAAAAAAGTTAATGAATTGGCATGAAAGTGATGTCGCTCGGTTCAGAAAGAGCAAAAATGAATATCTACCAAATTTCATCGAAAAATATTCACCGGTTTTCAAGATATTAGACTTTTACTTTTGTTTACTTTTTGGGATCTCCGCTGTAACCTAGCGACTTTATTTGAAAGTGCGGCATTTGTTGCGCGCAAAGCAGCATATACCACCGCGTGCTGCCAAACGTTTTAGTAAAAGATTGAAAAATCCTTAGATCTCCGCTGACGTCACAAATTCTAAGGGGGCATACCAATGCATTAGCCCCTTAGAATCCGAAAACTGCAAGTTTGAAATTCCATATCTCCGAATTAAAGCATTTTTCGATGTTGTGAATGCCCAAACCGGTATTTTCAGGCCATGGCCACCAATTTGGCTATCTCAACTCAAAACTAATGTTAAGGTGGGAGGGTCCCTTTAAGCCTAGCTATGCCAACCAGTGTAACCAATTAACGGGTCCGTCACTCGTCTGCCACTTTGCAGGTCTCACGAACAAGAACATGCGTCTGTACGCGGACGCCAAGGACTCGTTTGTGAAGCTGCACACTATCGTGCGCTCGCACCCTCAGATCATCTACCAGATCGCCAACTGTTCGGAGCTGATGGGCGACATCGACCAGGCCACCGAGTGGTGAGCGGCCGCCCGTGGCCTGCGGGGTATAATGAGGACTAGGTCTTCGCCACAGTTGTCAGGGACTGAAGATTGTTAGGCTGGTTGTAGTGATTGGCAACGTAATACGCGAGCGGATCACCGATTGTTTTTCACTGTCACTGTCGCAGCATTCATAGGTCACTGTCTGCCTGTCAATGCACTTATTAGTTTTATAATTAGCTGTGCGCAGATGCTTCCGATGAAGGGCACAGTCTTCTGTCTCTTTAGCCGGCGTATGGTAAGTTGATTCATGTGTCCGCTGGTGTGCCGTTTTCTGAACTCCAGTTTCCGCTTTCGACAGGTATATTCAGATGCTGAGTTTGGTGCCGTCGGACCCGGATACCCTGTTCCACCTGGGCGGACTGCTGGACAGCGAGGGCGACAAGCAGGCCGCTTACCAGTACTACTTTGACGTGAGTCCGAGACACAGCACACGCCGCCTCCCCCTTCTGTGTAACATCTGAGTGGGGCTGACTCCGCCGGGTCCGTGCCTGTGTTCATCAGTGAGTGAGTACAGCTGCAGGAACACTAGGCGCCAACTGTGTGTGGGACTGTGGGTGTTAATCCGACGGACACCCTCCATGACTGTGGCCCAGTTGCCGTCGTTGACCGGCGGCTCCCCCTACCTCGCTGTCCACAGTCGTCCCGGTTCTACCCGGCCAACCTGGAGGTGATCGACTGGCTGGGCTCCTACTTCATCGAGCACCAGGTCTCCGAGAAGGCCATCCTCTACTTTGAGCGCGCCACGCTGATCCAACCGGCAGAGGTGCGCTGGCACCTTATCATCGCCTCGTGCTACCGGCGCGCCGGTAACTACCAGCGAGCGCTAGCCAAGTACAAGGAGATCCACGTCAAGTTCCCGGACAACATTGAGTGTGAGTACGGCAGTCGGTTTGGCATGCTTGTCGGATGGCCAGGGACTGTGTTTTGTTTGAGCTGTGGAGAATGCCTTGAACTATATAAATGGTACATCTGATCGTTAAATAGCTGGCCCAGTCAGGTGAACTTCACTGGGAACAATGTAAAACATGATAAGTCGCACGCAGCTGCTGCTGAGAAGAATGCCAGCGGAATTACTGTCTTCCCTGACAGGTCTGAAGTTCCTGGTGCGTATCTGCACCGATCTCGGCCTGAAAGAGGCCGCCGACTACGCCGTGGAGCTGAAGCGTGCTGAAAAGTACAAGGAAATGCGCGACGAGCGGCTGAAATCCGGAAGGCCTAGCAGTAAGTGCTCACCTGACAGTATACCGTTTGGATTGCACCCAAATATTGAGGAAGAACATATTGAGCAAATTTATAAAGTAGACAATTATTATACTTGGTACATGAATAAATGCTTACTTGCTCCGCTGTAGTAATTACTAAAGCCCTTGTTACACTGCCGAATTTTGGTACACGAATATGCACGAATATGCAAGTCATCCTATGTCGCGGATCGATTCGGGATCTTTCTTCCACGGTCTTGGCATTTCGCAGACCAGTCGGTGCCCACCGCGCGACTTTTACGGTTCGTCACGACCGCCACGAATATTTCATGAAAAATGAAAATTTCGTGGCCGTTCGCCGAACTTATAATAAACGAACATGATCGCCAAACACTCGCCGAGTCACCGCCGACATGTCGCTACGTGCGCCGACTTGTTGCCAAGGTATCGCCGACTATTCGCAACAGATTCGCCATTCATTCGCGATGTTCGCCGAATCATGGATCAGCTTCGACCCGCGCACGATTAGGGGGGCCCCCCACCCATTGTCTGCAAATCGGGCTCTGTCGGCGAACTGTTCGCCTCTGTCGGTGAACTGTTCGCCGATTTCCTACACGACGTGATTCGGCGACAGGGTCGTGGCCAAAATTCGGCAGTGTAACACGGCCTTAAGTGTCAATCGCGACATTCGCCATTGGTCCTGTGCCTGATCGTCTGTCCCTGTGGCGCAGCCTCGTACCGGTCCGGCCTGCACGGCTCTCGGGACAACTCGGCGGCCAGTCGGCGCTCTGACGACCGTCCCGGCTCGATGGCCCGCCCTCCGGGCACAGCTGGCGAGCGGGCCAGCCTGTCGCCGGCCTCTCCGCAGCCGGCGCCGACCGCGGCCGCCACCCCGACGCCGAGCGGCCCGAGAGAGATTGGTAAGTCACGCCGGGTGTGGGTGGGGGTGGGGGCTGCAGGGGTTTCAACCGTGGCAAGGTGGGGCGGGTGCCGGGTAGTTTCTGTACGATCGCTGCGAGATGGGCTGTGGGTGGACGGACGAGAGGATGGTAGTTTAACCAAACGGTTTTAGTGCTGCTTTGGCTATAGTTTGGTCTGTGTGGTGATCGCTGGACAAGTGTGGGGTGAGATGGTCTCTGCTGTTGTCGAGGTTCAGCAGAGGAGACTCTGGTTTGTGTCAGGCAGGTGTTCAGTGCCGCGCCTGCGTGGCTTAATGTTGTTTGTCTCTCCGTGTCTTTGTTATTACCTCGCCGTGGATTGCAGTCGCCCGGTACCAAGCAGGAATCCCTGTCATCCCGCGTGCGCCGGCTCCCACCCCTGTCTGCGGTTCGTCGTACGGTCGGGTGTGCTGGCGGGTCTGACGGGCGGGCGGCGCTCCCTGCAGATGCCAGCTACTCGGACCCCATCGGGGACCCGATGGCGCAGCGGCCGCGCACCGCCGCCTTCCGGCCCGCCGCCGAGGACGACCTCTTTGACGATGAGCTCGGAGACGACCTCCTGCCCGAGTAGACTCCGAGCCGAGTCCTCTCCCGTGCCCGCCAGCGCTGGGAGTGACCCCAATCCCTACACAGTCTCCTCCAGCAGCTCCCGGCGAGCGTCCCGTCCCCGTCTCCTCCCGCCCCGTCTCGCTGATCACACGTTTGGTGGTCAGAGACTCAATCCTTCTAATTGGTTCGTGGTCAGCATCCCAGCCAGGTTTCCGTCACGGTCAGCTGCCGGTACAGCGCACAATCACCACAGAGCCGCCCGCTGCTGAACATAAATCACCGGAGCCTGCCTGTTCTGTGTGTGTCCCGGGACAGTGCCGTGTCGTGTGGTGTGCTCTGGTCCGGTCCTCACGGTCTAGTCCTCACCGGGTGGTCCTCACCGGCTGGTCCCCACGACCCTCACCCACCGCCAGCTCTGCACAAGCGGCGGACCGCGCTCTGCCCCCTGCTGGCCTGTCCATAGCGGCACCGAGCGGTTACCACAGGCGCTCGGGAGTGGTGCATGACGTGTGGTACTGCACCGTTTTGGCGACCGCTATATTTGCGCCACACTGTTTTGGTGACCGCTCTGTTTGGTGCTGCACCGTTTTGGTGCTGCTGTTTGGTGCCGCCCAGTTTGTCCAGGTTTGTCCCCACGCCGTGTAACTGTCGTGCTGTACTGTAAAGGGATCGCCGGCACTGCACGGCGCCCTCCCAGACCACAGCAGCTGCACGCTCCGGGCCGTGGCGTGCTGTGACCGAGTACCCCACTCACGTGTGCTCCCGTTCTTAACCCCTGCACCCCCGACCTGAGCTGACCGGCCGCTCCGCTCCCGTGTCAGACACGTGGTACGACGACCCGCTGGGCCCGCTGGAGCAGCGGATGACCCACTACTCTCAGCGGGCAGCCGAGGACGACTGGGACGACGAGCTCGGCGACGACCTGCTGCCCGAGTGAACAGACCGGCCCGATATCTGACGGCGAGAGGCGGAAGCTGAGACTGGCCGGCCGGCCGCCAGGGTGGAGCGAGGGCAGGCCGGTGTGGGCCGGGACGGTAGTGCTGCTAGTCTTACTGCTGTGATTATTTTTATAAGTATACAAGTTTTAGGTACTAAACCATTTTTCATTCGTTGAATACGTGAAGTATTGACTTCTTTTTTCGGTTCAGTTTTAATGAAACGTGTATTTTGTTACGTCACCTTATATTCCGTTGTTTCATGTATCGCATTTTTTATTCGCATAGGTACATTTGTGATATTCTATATATTTTGTCTGATCCTTTGTCGCTATGTATATGTAAGTGTAAATGCCTGCACTCTGGAGTGTGCCAGCTGATGTCACTAAAATGTGTTACCGTCCCTAACCCGCGCCCTGGTGGGGTCTGTTTATAACGCGACCTGGTGGGGGGGGGGGGCTATTTTTTGCCCCCCCTCGTATCTCCGAAACTACTGGACGGATCCGAAAAATTCAAACGGCGTTCGAAAGGCCTGTCAAATTTGTCGAGGGAAACCAAATTTTATTGACCTCGGGGTCACCGATGACGTCACAGGTCAAGTCAAAGATGAAATGTTTCACCGTTCACGGGTCTTCTAGGGAATGCGCTATAACACCGAGGAAAACGCATTTTGTCGGGAATCAGCGATAGGGCGTCAGTTGCCTAGTAGATATGTTGCTGTTAGAGGTCACTGGCCATACCAGGTCAGGTCACAGGTCAGGTCACCAAAGGTCACCAAGGGTCACCACATGAACCCAACTTTACTAAGGTTATGCGATGCATGTTTTATGGCCAGTTTTTCATTTCCAACTCAATGGTGTTGGTTATAAGACCATCAGGTACGGTTTAGGTCACTTTCTGGTGGAGGTCAGGTCAAGGTCAGGTAAAAAAAGGTCAAATTTCAAAGTTGATATTTTTGCATAAAATGGGTATTGATTCGATGCAGCTCGTCAAGGGGAGTCTAATGGTGGTCTTTGTTTTGCGCTACGAGGTCTAGAATTGCTGAAAATCGAGTTTGAAAATTTGACGTCATCAATTTTGAACAGTTTTTTCGCTATAACTTGGCCAAAAAAAGAGGTATCGATCTCAAATTTGGTATGTAGATAGAAGGCGGTAAGGACTATCACATATATTCCGGTTTTTTCGAAATTCAAAAAACTTTTTGGATTTTTTGGCTATTATATTCAAAAAATCTATTTTTTGATTTTTGGGGGTCAAAATCCAAAAATTTCAAAAATCCGAGATAGCAGTTTTGTAGCCCTGTCCATTCTACAGCTTTTATGTCTGTATCATTTTTCTGTATTTGCAAATCTATAGGCCTGACAGCTCATCCCGCGAAACCCTTTTTTGGGTCGAAAACGGCAGAACATGACGTCACTCTGACGTCATTTCCGGCCAACCTATCATAGCCTTTGGAAAAATTTTTGGTCACAATGTGTAAAATTGATGTCCGGGAGGGTACTGAAAGTTTGGTGACGATCGGCGCAGTGGTTCTGGAGATATATCGAAAAGTCTGGAGGGGGGGGCAAAAAATAGCCCCCCCCCCCCACCAGGGCGCGGGCTAATGTGCGATGTGTAGAAATGTACTCAAGCAGGCTCCACTGCATAGATATTCTATGCTGGCCGCCGGGGTCAAGAGATATCCTACAGTTTCACAAACCTCGGATAAAGTCGACTTATCGTACCCCGGATCACCGGGATGTAAGATAATCCGCGAAGGTACATGAAAGACAATATTATATATCTAAACTGCACGAAAACATTGATCTTCTATTGCATGGTACGATTAGTACGACTGAATAATACTGCACGGGTGTATTTATGTTTTTATGTAGTCACGATATGTAACCTTATGTAACGATGAGATGTAACTTGGTTCACTCTATGGATGTAACTTTGCTGTAGTGTTGTTCCTTTTTGTCGGTCGTCGTCATGCTCGATGTCCTCATTGACGGCACACTGATGAAAGCTTTTCATCTCACCGCTGTGATGCATTATGTTTGTTACCCAATATATTTTATTTCGATCGGAACGTCCATGTTTGTGAGTCACGTAATACATTTTATTTCGATCAGGGCACTGTTCAGAAATCTGCCACCGTGCCAATTAACGATCCCCAACTGCGTGTCATATCCTGGGCGCCATCGGCCCATCCGTTCTTGTATATAAGAATGGCCTCTGCGCGGTGTTCGTACGATAGGAACATAACTGCGAAATTTCGAGACGCCGTAGGGTGCCCAACGGTAGGCCAGGTTTCAGGGCAGTCGGCCCAGTAATTGCCCAGCTATTATAACAAGAACGGACTTGACACCACGTCATTTTATACGTGTCGCGAGCTGTGGTGACTACCTTCTTGCATCGAGAGAAGCACGATGATTGGTAGGAAAAATGAAGTTGCCTTACCATGAGACTGTTAGTCAGTCGGCCCAGCGGTTTTTGAAATTACAGGCCGGACCGGGCCACTCATGAGATTTTGTTTCAGTTTTATTGAGAAGCTTTGCGTCCGATCGAAGTAGGCCTGGTGGAGGTTAGAATGCAGTCCATAGATGCCGTTAGAAGTTTACGCCTAAAGGTATGCTGCGCCGCAACGCTGGTAGGTTCTTGGACGGCTCATAGGTGACGCTAGTGGTCTACGCCTGAAGGTATGCTGTGCCGCAACGCTGGTAGTGAGTTGGACGGCTCATAGATGGCGTTAGGAGTATTCGCCTGAAAGCATGCTGCACCGCAATGCTGTTAGAGCCTTCAACAGCTCATAGATGGCGCTAGTAGACACGCCTGAAGGTATGCTGTGCCGCAGCGCTAGTGACTGGGAGGTTTCATAGATGGCGTTAGTAGTTGACGCCTGAAGATATACTGTGCCGCAATTTTAGCATTGACGGACGGCTCATAGATGGCGTCAGCTGTATATAGCAGCGAATCAGGAGTTCACTGGATCTTTTGCCGAGATTGCTGACGACAGGTGGATGCTGGTGTGGTTTATCCTAGCGCTGCCATTACACCGTAAATGCCACACATGTGACATACATAACTATTCAAACTGACTGCCGGGTCGAAAATGGAAAGGTCATCTTTCGTGACTTCGTCCTTTATTGTTTCTGTGCTTCGGAGTCGGACCTTACGGACCAAAGCGCATCATAGCAGGGGGCTGAGACCACGCGGCGCTGTGCTTATGCATTGCTTACCTATATATAAAGTAAAAGGAGACGAGCACTGTGCGGGCATTTGTGTTTTATTTTTCATCGTTTTTTTTTTTTGTTCAGTAATTTGCTCGTTATTTTTTTTTTATCGTCCATTGGAAGACCAAACTTGAAACGAGTCAAATCTCTGGTCCTTTATCTTCCTTAACCCTCGCACGACCAGGCCATTTCTCATAACACGAACGACCAGGGGGGGGGGGGTTGTTACGACCCCCCCCCTGGCGTTTCGAAACGGAAGGTCGTAGAGCTTAGCGGAAAAACCAACGGATTGCTCTCAACGAGATCTCGCGATTGGTGGTATATTTTTTGGTCCTAGGTCAACATTTGACCTACTTATGACCGGTCAAAGGTCAAATTTTCCGAAAAAAATCAAACTTTTCAACTTTCCACGGCGATTGCGGCAAAACGGTGGGAGATATCGACTTGAAACCTTCACTATCGTGTTCCTTGATCAATTCTCTATCGTTTGGTATGTATTTCGTTTCCCTAGCTCTAAAAATGGCGCGTTGGGAGCGCCGGAAGTCGGCAAGGTCACAGTCGGCGGCAGAAATTCGAAAAATCAAAATTTAAATTTTTGAAATCTGATTGTATTTTTGGATTTGGGAGGTCCATTTGCTCCCTATAGAAGCTAATATTGCTGCATATTCCCATTGAGGTGACAAGAATTAGCAAAATAGTGGTTCGGGCGCTTTTCAAAAGTAGTACCGGACGCTGTTCCTCTTGTGACGTCATAGCTCCGTGACCTGACCTGACCCGGTCAATTTTCTTGCACCACACGATAGCCAATGCTTGCCCCAACATGCATGGGAAGTTTCATCATGATCCATCAAACAATGTGGGTATCACCGGCAGAAAACCTAGGGATTCGGCGCACACGTTTGGTAACTGTCGGCCGGAGGCTGTACCTCTTATGACGTCATAACTCCGTGACCTGACATGACCCGATCAATTTTTTTCGGCAAAAGATGCGCAAAGGTTGCCCCAGAGGGTATTGAAAATTTCAGCCCGCTACGACAAGCCGTTTAGCGTGCACTTCGAAAAAACCTCAGGGGGGGGGGGTGATACAACCCCCCCCCCCTAGGCGTTCTAGGGTTAAGCCCGCCGCCCGTCTTTGCCTCTGTCTCCGTCAGTGAGACAGACTCCTTTCATCATTTCCGTGGCGTTTGATCTGGTGCGCTAGTGGTCTCGGGTCTCTGCCGGCCGCCTGGGAGGACCCTCAGCGCTGGTAATTGGTCCACAGGAGCCGATAGCTCCGGCCGCTGGAGAGCAGAGGTGTGCCATCACTATGGCGACCGACCGTACCCCTCCCCCTCCTGTCATCTCTCTTCCAACTCTCCGGTCGAGCTCCTCGCGCCGCTCCCCTCCAACGCTTCAATTCATATCTCTCGAGGAACGGGTGTATACGTTGGCCCAATGCAGATGAACGGTCGGTTTGATACGCTGGGGATTGGTGAAGTCAAATACCGCTGAGGGTAGTCCTGGTTTGACAGGAGTGCCACTGCGACGTCTTAACCTGTCACGTCCTGTCACAGCCCAGGATGGCAGAAAGTCGGTGATCTATGTAGTTCAGGGAAGGCTGGGCTGTGGATGTAAAATGTCGAGATCCAGCCAAGAAAATCATTAGTGAAGTATATTCTATGTAGTCCCAAATAAAGACGATGGCAAATGTGATCAAGCTTCGTAAAATAAGCTTGTTATTCTGGAAATCCGATGAAAGATCGCGTTGGGGACTCAAGACTAGAAGATTAGAATACAATGAAATCAATAACATAATTATATCAAAATAAAAAGGTGAGTAATGGAAATTTTGAGAGGTGTCGAGAGAGAGAGAGAGAGAGAGAGAGAGAGAGAGAGAGAGAGAGAGAGAGAGAGAGAGAGAGAGAGAGAGAGAGAGGGAGAGAGAAAGAGAGAGAGAGAGAGAGAGAGAGAGAGAGGCGGGTGGAAAGTGGAAGAGAAAGAAAGGAGAAAGTGTGGGTTGGAACTAAGGAAGGGCGGGCACAGGCTAGCCGTTGCGTCCGGTCGCGCGGTGTGACGGCGCCGGACGGTCCCCCTCCCCTCTCCCTCCTCTCCCGCTCTCCCTGCGGCAGGAAGTGACGGATCACCGACCCCTCTGCACCCTAGGAGCAGTGGCTGACCCGACGGAGCCATGGAGCCGGCCAGCGCACCTTTGTGTGCAAACGAGCCGCGGCCATACCACACCACCCGAGAGCGCACCGTGCAGCGCCGGCAGGGGAGAGGAGACCGAACGGCCGACGGGTCAGCCAGAGACCGCGCCAGTCGCCGATTGGTGCAGTCATACGATCATACCGCTGATCATGGTGCAGAATGCAGAGAAAGCTCGCATAATGGTTGAGTTGAGGTCTGACGAACCAAAGACGCTCCAATAAGTCCAGTGTTATTTTTTGGGAGAAGGGGAGGCGTCACAGCTGTGAAGCTGTACCTCGTTTTCTGACAGAGCTGCTCCCTGTCCCCCGACTCCCTCCCCTTTTAGAGCAGCATCCCTCCCTCTCTGTACGAGCTTCACCCCTTCCCACCGCTGTCTCCCTCCCCTCCCCCTCCCGCCGCTGTTACGGAGCAGCCCGCCCCGCTACCGTTGCCGCCGGTATGGTTTATGACCGTGCCGTATCGGAGTTGCAGTTTTTGTCGACTGACGGCGGTGCGAGGACGGAAAGCCGGCGATGGGGGGGGGGGGGGGCGGAGGGAAGGCGCTGGTGGTATGGTGGTGACTGGTGACTGTTGGTGACTAACAGTGACTGACGGGAGTGATATCAACGTTGGTTCAACGTTTGAGTCTCGCGTTGCAAGAACCTCGTAGTCTGTTTTCGTGAAGTGTTGGTTGCTGTCTCCTTCACAGTCGCTTTATGTGATCATATGCGACCTTCATAACCCCGATAGACAAAAGCAGACACACTAGAGTGTATGGATATCGTTTGATTCATTATTAGCATCTGGCACAAACAGTCGGTACATACATCTGGAAACAACAGCGGCGGCTCGGTGGCCGCCATCACAATCACATCACACAGTGCCGCCCGCTGCGGCCGGAGGTCCTCGGGTGCGGCCACCGGTCAGTCCGCGACCCGACCCGCTCTGCTCATCTCAGCGCGACAGGGCAGCGCTAACTCTCAGCGGCACACGGCGCGGCAGCACAGAACATCACATGTCTGTGCCCGGACAGCCGCTGGTAACGGTCAGTGACACACCGTGCAATGGACAGGGTGCCAGGCACTTGGTGGGGCAGACGGAGCGGCGACACCCCGTACAGGGCGCGCCGCGCGCCGGCGACTAGAATGACGGGCGGCGTCACAGCGACCGCGTCCACACGTGCGCACACATGGTAACGCGGCACACGTGACGTCATTATAACGTCACTATCGGCGCGGTCAGTGCACGTACTGGTTGTGCGCGGCGTAGTGTTGTGCGTCCACGATGACACTCGTATAGGCGGGCTGCGAGTAGGGACAGTACTCCTTGGGTGGGTTATTATTAAGTGCCGTCTGATCGGTCATCTGCTGCAGCTCGCCGCCGGTTTTACCGTACCCAAACACCTCCTGGCTGCGGTCAAAGCCGTCCACGGGCCGTTCGTACAGCTCCGCCGGCCTCTCATACATCTCTGCCGGCCTCTCGTACATCTCAGAGGGCCGCTCGAACGCCTCCGGGCCGCGCTCGTAGGCCGGGTCGAGTCGCTCAAACGGCGCCGCATGCCGCAGCTCTCCGGAGCGCACCTGGAAGCCGTACAACTCGGCGGCCGAGGGAGAGCTGCACATGTAGCCCTGATAGCCGCCGGCCGCCGGGTAGCCAGTGTAGCCGTGCGGTGCTGCGGCCGGCGCGGTCACCGGCAGCTCCAGCTCCAGCGCGTCCGAGGCGGCGCTGCCGGCGCTGGCTGCCGAGCCGGCGCTGACGGGCCGCGCCGCCGCCGCCGCCGCCGCCGCCGCCGCCGCCGCCTCCACCTCGCCGCGCGCACAGATCACTGAGCCGGCGGAGAGGAAGGCGGCCGGCGGACGCTGCCGGGCCGCCGGTGCCGCCGGCTCGTTACACACCGCCGCCGAGTACCCGTAATTGGCCAAATCGGCGTGCAGCACGAAGCGCGGGTCGGGTGCCTTCGCGGTGGTCGCGGCGCCGTAGCCGGCCGGGTCGGCGTAGCCGGTGTACTGGGTGGCCGACTCGGCGCTGAAGGTGACCGGCGGGCAGTAGGCGCCGGCTGGGGACCGGTACGGCGGACTGAGGCCGCGGGCCGGTGCCGGAGCCGGAGTCGGCTCCGGACACGGCTCGCCGTTGGTGGAGGAGGCCGTCCGCAGACCGTCCACCTGACTGATGTCGAGCTGCTGGCGCGGCCGCTCCGCGTCACTGCCGAGAGAGATTGGAGGTCAGGTCAGCCGGGGAGTGGCGGCGAAGGGCGAGGATCAGGCCTCTTTTTAGGGTTACTGTATCGACATAAGTAGCGTCAGCCGTCACAGCGCGGCAAGGTGGGAGGGTACTCTATCTGTGCAGTGAGACTACGTGAGGGTTCTGTATCGGCGCAGCGGGACTGTGAAAGGGTGCTGTATCTGCGGAGCGGGGTACTGTTTCGGTACAGCGAGGGTCGCGGCCCGCCGGCTGCCGGTTCGCTCTCTATCACTCATCAGTCGCCGCTCGGTGCGGGAGGCCGGCCGGACGCGACGCCGCTGTCTCTGTGATCAGAGCAGGTGCCGGTGCGCCGATCTTATCACTCCTAGCCTCTCCCCCTCCCCACGGGACCGACCCCGACACCACCGACCTCCGAGCCACCGAGACAGCACGTGCCGCGCGTCACCTGCCACTCGCACGTCAGTCACGGCTAGTTTCGTCACACGTAATATGTTGCGTGATGTGTCGAAAGACGCCACACGTAATGTGATGCGTGATGTGTCGAAAGACGTCACAAGTAATATGACGCGTGATGTGTCGAAAGACGTCACTCGTTATGTGATGTGTGATGTGCCAGAATGCGTCACACGCAATGTGTTGTGTAATGTGCCGAAGGGCGTAACTCGTCATGCACAATAAACAGACATCCTGTCGTATCGTCTGTCACACTGAAACGTCAAACTGTCATCCAAAACGTCATGATGTGCTCCGTAATTCACCCGACTGATATACAGCTTCAAAATCATCGGCCACAGCACATTCGGGACACTAACTACATACGTATACTACACACCACGTCAGCCGGCGTCAGCCAACAGTTGTTTTGACGCTTCGATTCAGCACCACATTGACAGCCGACGGTGGACCTGGATTGACCTGAGCCAGGTCAACTGACCTGAGCACTTGAGCACCAACTAACCTGACCATCGGACCGACCTCAGGAGACGACCACTGACCTGATCCTAGGACTGACCTGAGTCGGAGCCCAGCCTCAGCAGAGGTCCGACCTGAACCGATAACTGACCTGAGCACGTAGTTGACGCTGACGATGCAGTGCGGCCGCGAGGAGCGGCTGTTGTGGACGATGGTGATGTAGCTCTGGAGCCAGATCCAGCCGCCATCCTTGGTCAGAAACCGGTAGTACTTGGTCGTCACCTGGCCCTTGAATAACACTGGAAACGAAACGGAAACATGATGTGAAACTGAACATGGCTATATACTCGTAAATATGACGAACTGCGCAGAAACTTTGATCAGTTCAAAGTCACGAAATGTCTATATCGAGGCACACCATAAATCATATGAAAAACGGAAATATCATGAGTCACATGCCGCCGATAAACGATCCATGTCAAATAAATGCCTGCATGACGGTTCTCGACAAGAACCTGCGTCCTGCAGTCAGCTGGCAGGGGTGTAAATTGAGTCAACCCATTCCGTTTATAGCTGACTGTCTCCAGGCTCATCACAACTCACATGTTCTGTGTGCATGCTGCATGTTGTGGACATCGTGCGCGTGGATATAGTGGTAGATTGTCTTCTCAATGAGATCCTGCGGTTCATACCCCGTGAGCGCCAGCACTCTGAAATCAATCCGGAATGGCGTCAGGACGAATAGGTAGACACATTCTTCGAGCGATTTAAGTTAGTTGGCAATGGACCTGTTCCGTTCACGGATATCCCATCCGACACTATCGGTGGTCGGTCCTGCTCAGCGGCGGTGGGCGGGCCGGCCCTGACCTTCCCATGACCCGCCGGCGGGTGTTGTGCCGTGCCTCGCCGGCCCATTGCGGCGGTCGGCGAGCCGTGCAGCCGGTCCCCGCGGTCAACAGTCAGCGTCAGCAGTCGGCTCAGCGCCCACACCCCGGCCGAGGAATTAATCAGCGCCGGCTGCTGACACGCCGCCCCGCTATAATTGCCCACCGCGGCTGACCACCGTGGGAAAACTGTTTGCTTTGAATCAAACGGAGCTGCGAGGGGCCGGCCGGCGGCGGCACGCAATCCGTGTAATCACTGTTATTGTGATGGCGATACGGGCCACAAGTGGCTGCCCCCGGGCCGGCTGATGATAGCTGGCCGAGTGGCGCACAACAGGCGTGCTCGGCGTGCTCAGAGAACGGCTGGGCGTGCTCAGAGAACGACCAACCGTGCTCCGAGTGGCCGGTCGGCGGTACCCCCGCTGCCAAACACCTCCGAACGGCCCTCCGGCGGCGGACAACACAATTAGCCGTCCAGCAAACACTCGGCACTGGACCGACCATAAACGGAGTGGCGGGGAGGAATACAGACGGCTGACAGCACGTCGATGTAGGATAAACCTCTACTGACCCACTCCGGACTAACCACCGGAACATTTCAAACAGAGCGCCGGCACATACGTCAGACGGTAATCTTCGTGAAAACAATGACATTAAAAATAGCTAAGTTTTTCAAACCTCAAGTACGAGTAAAGACACTTCGACGACAACAGTTTGTCCATTGGCATCAAAAACACGAATGCATGAATCATTCAGGGTACACTAATTCATTTTGTTCAAAACGATTTAAAAGGAAACATTTCAAACAAAACTATTTCGATAAATAAAAAAGGTATGACATCAGCTGTCAAAACCAAGCACGATCAAATAATTATTTATTACACATCATCTCGACGCCACTGGCGCTCGCCCTCACCTGGCGTCCAGGAAGATGAGCTTCATGTCGAGGCTGGCGCGGAACATGAACGTGTTGCTGTACATTTTGATCTCGGTGATGGCCGAGGAGGGCAGCGAGTGGCCCACCGCCACCAGACCGTAGATCTGGTAGCAGCTGCCATATGGCGCGCTGTCCAGACTCATCAGCTTCACCTTGGCGTAGCCGCTGCAGTGAATCGCCTGGGGAGACGGCAGGGCAGGGCAGTCGGGTCAGGGCAGGTCAGGCTAGTCGGGACAGGTCAATCTAGTCAGTCAGGTTATGGAGGGGTAGGTTAGTCGGGTCAGGGCTGGGCGGTAAGTTCAGGGGAAACGCCGTGAAATTCATTTGTATTGAACATTTTTACGGCGTTAATTTGCTAGGTTAACCGATAGCGCTGGACATATGCATAATAGCATAGGTATCATGCACGCTGCACAGTGCACATTCAAGCCTTACCTTGTATCCCGACGTGGTGAGACCGGCGTTCCGCTTTGCCAGCACGCACTTCATTCGTACAATGAAATTGCGTTCCAGCTCGAAGTCTGAAAGGCACACAAAACTGGATCAACTCGGATATCAAACTCAGTAAATCTGAGGGTAAAAATGTTAGGGAATCGACAGATAAGATTTATTACGAGCCGATATGCGCCATGATGTTTGTAGGTTACACACAACTGACTGGTGCCCACTGGCGAGTGGTTGTCTGCCTTACTGCTTGTGCCCGGCGCCTGTCCCACCGACCTGTTCCCGCTCCTGTCCCACTAACCTGTCTCCTCTCCCACTGATCTGTGCCCACTTCCTGTCCCACTGTTCCAACGACCTATTCCCGGCTCCTGTCCCACTGTCCCAAAGACCTATTCCCGGTTCCTGTCTGTCCCACCGACCTGTTCCCGCTCCACTGACCTGTCTCCTGTCCCACTGACCTGTGCCCAGCTCCTGTCCCACCGACCTGTTCCCGCCCCTGTCCCACTGACCTGTCTCCTGTCCCACGGGGACGCACTGCGGCTGCATTCCCAGCACGGCCGCCATCTCGCCGTGGTCGTCCGGGTGGATGTACTCGTATATGACGTTACCAGTCAGCTCCACCTGTGGACGTAAAGGATCCGTACAATGTGATGAAAATGTCGAGGAAATTGAAAAAAACAATGCTGAGGCGAATGGTTTACTATCAATTGGAAATTGAACGATGCATTATTGGGTGTAATTAAACAGTCGTGTATTATCCGACGCTAACTATCACAAGAGCGTTGCGGCAACAATGAACATACGTTTTCAAGAACACTTATCCATACAAAACATAATTTCTCAGCAAAGCCGCGATCGCCTCGCTACCTGCCGCCTCCTGAAAGACGCTTCACCTGTCGAATAAAGCATAAAGGTACCCGTCGGAAAGATCGAACCACTCCAGAAAGTCTGAGGTGGTTCGTTTGATCGACTCTGAAGTGGGCTCCGAGAGCTTTTGGCGAGGGGCCGCAGCCCGTCTCTAAGGCACTCATCATCTCTTCTGGAAATTAGCGTCCTCTCCATTTGAACCTCATCGGTCGAGAGGAAAATGGGGATGCCATACATTCGAGTTGGTTGTCCTCAAAGCGATTATTTTCCTTATGCATGTGGATTCAGCTCAGGTCACTGAACAACACACACATCCGAGCGCGTTGTCGTGGGGTCACTCATGCATCGAGCACCCACAAACAGAGCACCAATGAGCACACAGCAGGCAGCACCCACGCGTACCCACACAGGGCCGCTCCAGTGGTGCCGTCTCATCACTGTCGTCTGTCGACGGCACGGGGAGGTCGGCCACTCGAGCCCCGTGCCGAGTCGGCGGTTCGGCCCCCTCTGGGAGCGGGCGCCCGGCGGCGGCCGGTGCCATCAGTCTCCCAATCTATCGACCGTTTCGTGCGCTCAATGGACCGCTCCTCACAGCTCGACTGTGTCTGCCTGTCTGTCTGTCTGTCTGTCTGTCTGTCTGTCTGTCTGTCTGCGGAACTCAGATCCGGTATCCCTTCGCTTAGCAGCCCCATCATCACAAACGGCGTCAGCATTAGGGAGAAATCCTGCCGGGACTTTACCGAGTGTGTTTGTTTATGAAAATCAAATGGACGAACTTGTGAAGCCTGTTTTTCATTTGTAAATTGAAATGCATAGCTCCAGAAATATGCTCTACAGTCTGCTTCATCCTATGCCCCCTCATGAAATGAATGCAAGCATCGCCTTCATTCAGCTATAAAAACATTTCCTGCGGATAATTATGTACTATGACAGGCATACTTTTAGTAGCATTCGCGCTAGCTAGCAGCTCCAGCGAGCACTGATCCACCAGAGATAGTTCAGCGACCAGCCACCCATCGCCGTGCATCTGTTGTTGGCCACCTCTGCGCCAAATCGCTGACAAATCGACATGTAATGGCTCCATTGTACGGCCGGCACCGAGCCAGCCACAATTGTATTTACGGCCTCCCGGCGTGGTGTGAACGCGCCTTCATTCAGCCTTTTTCCGACACCTTTTAATCGGTACACCGAATCGCCGCGGCGCCGGGTGCCGGCGATAATCGGCACCGACGCAGGGGGTCGCCGGCGCCGAGAGGGGAGCGGCCGGCACCGTGTCGCGCCCGCCCCGGGCCGGTTTTTACGCGCCGAGCCTGATAGATGGAGGCCGGCGAGGCGGTCAGCGCGGCCGCTCGCATTCTCGGCGCCGCTAAGCCGGCCGGAGCATTGGCGGGCACGGAGCGACGGCGTCATCAGGGCAGATAGGCGTCATCAGTCGGCCGTCGGCGCCATGGCGTCATTAGCGCGGCGCGGCGGCACGAGCGGCCGACCTGCGCCGGACGCACCGGACCAAATGGAGCTGAGACACCGGCCGTGGGAAAATGTACCGATATTGGGGGAATGGGGGATATAAACCGCGAGGTAGCCATCTTATGCTACATAATGACAGTAAGGATAGTCATTATATATAACAGGAAAGCCAGATCCAGGAAATTCTGCTGGCCTCTTACGTAGCTCAGGGACCCTCTTATACCTTAGAATGATTCATTGAATTGACCTTCTATGTAGAAACCAAGGCTGGACACGCAACAAAGAGAGAGCTGTGACGTCGGCGTGTTTCCGAAGGCCGCAGCAGCTGACCAGGCTGACGACGGCGGCCATCTTGTGCCCTGTTGGTGACGTGACGTCGTTCCCTGCTCTCTGCAGGGCCGCGTATAATCCCCAGTGCAGATTCAGTTTTTTGCCGATGGCGGGGGAGCCCTCCGGCGCCGCACGAATGAAAGTGCCGCCGCGCAGAGAGGAACTCGACAAATGCCGGCCATATTTCAGAACTGCGCGGCCGGTGCCGGCGGCGCTCAGTCGTCTGTTTCGTCATAAATCGACGCCGGCGTCTGGCGGTGTTGGTGCAGCGGGCGGCCGCGCCGCTCCAGCGCCCGCCGGTGCCGGTGTGCCGCCGGAAACTCAGCCTCCACCCCGGACCCGGGCGGGGCGCCGGGGAGGGAGGGGAGGGGCGCCGGCGACACGCCGTCTGGGAGGCCGCCGGCGCCCCACTGTGTCCCGGTAAACGGCCGGGAGCCGCCGGTAACCCGAGCCGACCACTGGCAAACAGTGGCCGCCCGGACCGGCGACAAACAGCCCACCGATCGGCCCAGGTCCGACCGGGGCAGGGCGCGTGCCCGCTACCAGCGCGACAACATGAGGGCGCGGCGCTCCGACCCCAGTCCCTCTCTGACACAGGTAGAAACGGGCAGGACTGACCCGTCTGGGACTATCGCCGCCCGTCGGCAGCCGGTCGAACCCCGGCTAATCCTGTGACTGATGAGCCATCGGCTCTGAATGGGTCCGCCAATCGACACCGACCGGGCGAGGGCCCGAGTCCGGAGTCCCCGATAACTGGAGTCACCGCTGTCAGCGTTCTTCCGGACCGGCCTTTAGGGGACCAACTGCCGTCCTCAAGGAATGCCAAGAAAGGAACGGGCAGTATGTAAGTACGGCTCTAGCGAGATTAAGCGGTAGGTTTTGCACTTTTACATTTTCGGTTATATCTCAGAAACTAATCGCTCTACGACGAAGCCATTTCACACGATCATGGCCGGCTTGTGAACCAACAAGTCGATCGCATCTTAACCCTATTAGTGGCAGGCTCCTGGCTACACCTATTAGTGGCAGGGGGGGGGCTGTTTACGACCCCCCCCCCTTCATATCTCGAGATCTAACGGGCCGATTTTCAAAATTCAAACGGCATTCGATTTCGCTCAACGTGATCAACATTTCTAAAAAATAAAAATTAAAAAATGTCAATAGGGGGTAGAGGGGGTAAAAACGGGCAAATTGCAGATACATTTTAGACTGTTTATCACGGCCAGGTTTCTGAACCAATCTTAACGCAACTTTTGCCGATCAATAGAGAATGAACCAGGAATTCACATGGATCCTAAAAATATGCATTTTCAAAAATCATAGGCGGATACAGATCATTGAGATTGGGGGTACACAAAAAATATAGTACCTAAATAAGGTTTTTGTTGGTACTGTTTCTAAAAAGGGTGGTAATGGTCTTGTTATGTTACAATTTTCTTATGAGAGAACGACTACAATTGTATTGGTCATGCATAGGCGGTGTCAGGGCACCTATGTTGTGAGGTAAAACATAACCCCCCTTTTTGGACGCCTGGATCCGCCTATTATACCAAAAACGTGTCAAAAGAGGATGCACAATAACTTTGTATATGTCATCACATGATACCTTTCATTCACTGTTCGTAAAACTGGTGCATACAGTTATAATACATCAGCATCGTGATCTTCCCCAAATGACTCGCTTCACGAACAGGACCCCCCAATTCCTAGTGCTCTGGAGCCGCCCCTGGTAAAGTTATGAACTTGAAATTTTCAGGGAATGTGCCCAATTTAGTTTAAGGAAAAGTCAGAAAATTTCAGCATCGTAGCTTCAGTGGTTTCGGAGATATTCCTGAAAAACCTGAGGGGTGGATGAAAACAACCCCCCCCCGCCACTAATAGGGTTAAACACTTAACCCGCGCACCGACGGGGGGGGCGGATATCCGCCCCCCCTGAGGTTTTTCGCAAATAGCGGGAAAACCGCGGCGCGTAGCGCCGCGAAATTTGGTATGACTATAACCTCATCAATTTTACACATGGTGTGCAAGTTTGAACTTCCTACCTTTAAAGGTCAGGTCACCAGGTCACTTTGAATGACCCAACCTCAAGTCACTTTTTTGCAACTTTGTCACCGTGCCACAGCTACAGTAGATGTCGGAGGCCTTTGAAAGTCGCAGGATATTATTAGGTCATTAGTAGCTACAATTTGTATATCTCGGAATTTTGATATCGGTGACCTAAGGTCAGGTCAATTTCGCGACCTCCCCATTATAAGTCAATGGGGGAAAAATCAACTCCCTGTTTTTACCACTAAAACGGGTCGGAATGGCCCCATATACTTTACATGGCTTCATACACGATCAACCTTCACTACCTCGAGGTCTGTTTTGCTGTTGGGCAGCTGTGAGGTCATGTGACGTCATCAAAGGTCACCAAAGGTTTTTGGCCAATAACTCCGTACAGGAACAAGATACAGACGCGTGGATGGTCTCATTGTGTTCAGCTCGTCAAGACGCATCGAATGATATACATGATGACCTCGAGGTCACGTGACCTGAGGTCAACCTTTGACCTTGACCTTTCGAGGTCAACATATATATCATTCGATGCGGATTGACGAGAGGATCACGATGATGCCCTTAGTTTGTTCCTATCTTGACTAATTCGAAAGTTATTCGAGAAAAACTCTCTCCATATCTAGCGCCGCCATTTTGACTTTTTCGACCCCTGTGACGTCATCTTTGACCTGACCTGAAAATGACCTTAGTAAAAATTGTAGATCTTGGCCGTGCGTATCCGATGCCGTTTACCGCTTGTCGCTATCTTGCTTCGTTCTCGAGATCTCAGGGGGGGGGGCGGTCATCCGCCCCCCCCCCCCCGTCGGTGCAAAGTTGGCGCAGACCCCCGTCGGTGCGCGGGTTAAAACCTTAAAACGACGAAGATATAGCCTGAAGTACACCAAATTTTCTAGGTGCAAAACCTACCGCTAAAACCCGCGAGACCTGTACATCCCACAAAATTTGTGTAAACCCCCCGAAAACTAATGGAGTTCACAATTATTAGATATCGCGAAAGGTGGGTACTGGCCTGTGAGTAGCACCTTCATTCAATAATTATCAAGCATTGCTTGCTGAAAGACGAAAAATATGCATTGCTGAGAACAAATGCGCTCAGTCACGCACTGAAGCGGTCGATGACCACTAACTGACCTGCGACAATCCCAGGTGCACGGAGGCCGTCTCGGAGATGTAGATGACCTTGCCGTCCGAGGCCACGATAAAGATGAACCCCTCCAGAGTCTGCAACATCACCGTGACCCAGCGGAGCGCCGTCAGTCGCGAGGGAGCAGTGAGCACGGCTCGGTGAGTCGGAGGATGCCTGTGCAAACTTATAGGATTGGCGCAATAGTGCTGCGACAAACACGCCCTTTTCCACATAAAGTTAGTGGGATTAAATGTAATTATTGTAATGAAGCTGGTATGAATGCTATTAGCTATACATAGTTCATCATAAACACCCGACGATAGCAGTTGGTAGGTACCTATATTTATGTGCAAATATCATAACGATTTGCATATATCGTTTTTCACACATTGAAACAGTGCGCTTCATTCACTTGCCTGTAGGAGAAGTGAGCCGAGTTCTTTGATGCGACTCTCAGACTCGTGCGAGCCCCAGGCGATACCCAGACCTGGCGGCAGAGAGCAGACAGTTAGGTACACGGCCAGCGCCACGTACGACACAAACGTGTCTGGAGACATTGAGTGCATTAGGTGGAAGATGTCACCAGCATTCGGTCGAAAAATGATTATGAAAAACAAAACCCAAAAAGGCATAATAGAAGCGCCTGACACTGTAGCATTGTAGTGAACGGTAACAAGCTCGCATAATTATTGTGAATGGGAGCAAGTTGGCGGCCTGTCGGTGGCGGCTGGGTTGCCCCAGATGAAACTGAACCTCTCTCTCACCGTCTCACGGGGGTAGCTGCGTGCCGGATTTGTCAGGGAGAATGGTGGGAACGGAACTCGACACCGCGGTGCTCGGAGACGGAAGCAGTTGGCAGGCTGGCAGCGCCGCCGGCAACCGGGTCACCATGCCGGTCAGAGTGGTCACTGTGGCTCTGTGTTATACTCGTATAGTGAGCGGCATCTAGTGCGGAGCTTTATGAATGCCTGCATCAAAGCCCCATGGATGAGAAAGAAGTTAGAAGTGTCTGTAAATTGAACACGTGGCGGTGGAAAGAAAACTCTTGATAAGTTTTATGAAGAAATTCATAATGTAAGGGTATCCCGGATTGAACTAGCCGATGCTGAAGTAAAGTCACAAACTGACAAACATCAGTTCATTTTCATCATGCTATTCAAAAGCCCCACAACTGAGAATCCTATGTCACTCGGGCACGTGTGACGGTTCACGCATTATATTTCCATGTGACCCCATCCCCGTTCCCTGCAGCACCCGTCAGACGCCCCCTCCCCCACACCCTCCCCGGTCCCCTCCCCGTGACACCTGGTGACACGAACCCCTTTGTCGGTCGCCAATGGGCCGTGCCTCCCGTGCTAAATAACCGCGACGCCACCTTCAAGAGCCCGCCGCCCCTCCCCTCACCGCTCCCCGTCTCACAGTTCACAGTCTGTAAGAGGACCGTGGTATGGACACAGTTCAGCGCCTCTGTCGATGGACTGGAGTCGGCGCACCGGTCCGTGGGACAGAATTGACGCGTGGTAAAAAGGAGCGTGCGCTCGTGTACCTTGAGTCCGTGCCAGTGTCATCAATGAAGACTTGGTCACAGTAACAGCGCGCGGCTGTCGGTGCTCTTTCTTCCAGCAAGGGCCCGTTTCAGAGCACGGCCCCAGTGCCGCCGGCGGAAACAGCGGACCAAGCAGGTCAAGAATGGCGGCAAAAAAAAAGGCGGCGGCGGCGGCGCAGGAGTAGCGAGGTGGGGGTGGGGTGGAAGCTGTATCGATCATCGGTGTTTGGGGAGCTGTCGGCGCCTTGTTGGTTCAGTCTGTCCGAGACGCGGAGCGGCACCCGATTACAGACAGCAACAGGCGGCGCCGGCGGCCGAGCGGAGCCAAAGGAGCAGCGCTGATCGCAACACGAACAATGCGTGCTCGTTGTCGGAGAGAAACTAATATAAAGTATCATCACACTGTCACAGAATAAAGGAAAATATTCATTTTGGACAATACAAGTAAGCTACCAGCTACAATTTTTTGTTTGTTTGTTCAGTCCTATTCTTTGAACCATCTGCAATCTTACCTATCCATTGGGCAACATTTGATTCAGCTTTGGCAGGCCCGCCCAGGGTATATTGAGTTAAGGCCCGCCAACAGTAATGCCAAGCATACCGTCAAATAAGAAATCCACAGGCCGTTGCAAACACTAACGCTGTCGACCCTCACTCCTCGATCTATTGTTTTCTTTGATTCTTTGAACGGTAGATTACCATTCCAAGTTCCGTAGCCCCGCGCAGACAGTACCGCGGCACAGCATCATTGCAGGCGCTCACCGCTGGTGCCATCTAGCGACTGAGATATCACAGTGTAGCGGCATCGCCCCGCCCCGCTTCACTGTCTGTCCAATCCCTCTCCATCCGGCCTGCCCGGAACGCTGTACCACAGTAACAATAGAGTGCCACCCAGTCCTGTCCGCACCTCCGGCCAGCCCGACCACCGCCGCCGCTCACGACTTTTCCCCTCCCGTCCGTGACCCATTGAAGTGGCGGCGCCGTGGGACCATTTACATGCCACCAAACAGCCGTGACTCCGGGCCAGTGTTGGGTCACCGCCGCGCTCTGTGCCTCCGACACCCTGCCGCGCTGCGAACGCCGCCCGTTCCGTGCCGCATTGGCCGCCCGTTCCGCGCCGGGATGTGGTTTACAAATGAGTCTCTGTTGACTTTATAGCCGTGCAAACAGCGGAGGGTGTCGGCGCGGCGGCCGGCCGACACCTCGGCGGCCCGGCAATCAGCTGATGGCATCGATCAGCTGACGGTGGAGAGTGAGTGCGTCACTCGTTTAACCAGTGACGTGTGTCAGCGGGTCAGGCACGAACTGTGGCTTACCGAACCATTCATTTTACTATAACATGATTCCGCCTACCATTCAAATTATGCTTGTAACATTGATATCCATCAATTTGCTCGTGGAATGTTTGTGAATGCGGACAGCATTTTTTTAAATTGAGACGGTCACATAAGCACATTTAATTTACCTACCAGATATGCTTATTGCTTAATGCATTCTCAAGATATGCGCAATTTCTAAAACTTTTCTAATGGAAAACATTCAATTATTTCGCATTACATCGTAAATTTAGCCAAAACACCGGTTACAAATGTGACGGCAATTATTGGCTGAGCTTCACATATATTAGCAAAAATGAAGAAACTGACTCAAGAGTAAAGACCTCGTCCGCTTAGCGGAGCCGCGGACCGCAACGGGCGCTGGGTCATTTCGCCTTCATCAGGTGGGTTGGAAGTAGCGATGTCAATTACGGAAAATCGGAATACCGATACCAAACCAAATACCAACCAAAACCGTGGAGAAATACCGAAACCAAACCAACTTGGGAACATGAGGAAAATACCAACTTTTTACCGATTTCTTAGCCTCTTAAACATTAGCGAGGGTTCATGATACCAACAAAATACCAAACACATTAGGATTGAAATACCAAATACCGAGTTGGTATCGGTTTGGTATCGGTATACCAAAAAGTTGGTATCCGATTGACATCTCTAGTTGGAAGCCTGCGTCGCCAAAGCGAGCGGGCAGTGGCTGCGGCGGCGGCCGCCGGCGCGCCGTGTTTGCCGATGGCCGGCCGGCGCGCTGTTTGTTTGTCCTGTCGCCGCCGTCCGCCATTGTGACCGCTCCTCTCTCCGGGCGGAGTCCGCCCCGCTCTGCCGGCTCGTGCCGTGCCGGCGCACAACGCGCGGCGCGTGGTCGCCGCGGCGGCCGGTCGCCGCTGTTTGTTGGTGTAGGACAGAGGTGGGATCGGCCGGTATTTGGCCACCTCCGATCGGCAGCCACCTGTATCAACAGCCCTCGGACTCGGCGCGCGGCGCCCGGGGCTGAGCAGAGCCCGGGCCCCTCAGGGTAGCCTCTGCGGGCGCCGGACGGTCTCCCCGTCACCACAGTAAAACAGAGCGCACCGAGCCGAGAGCGCTCCAGCTCAGAGCTGGCCCTGTCCGTGTCAATAGAGCCGGCAGAGGGAGGAACGCAGGGCTGACGCGGCACGTGACCTGGCCGCTGGAACAACAGTCGGCAGAGTGGAGGGAATGAGAGTGGGGAGAGGGGCGCTGCCAGACTCTGTGAGCGGTCCCCGTAATGAGGATCAACACGTCCGCGTTTATCAATGCGTGTGCACGGCGGTTTCAGCACTGTATTGGTGAAATTGTATTGTAGGTCATTATTTTCTAGGCCAATTCAATGATTTGTGTCTAGTTATAGGGATGTTTATGGCCTAGGAAATCACGAAGCATGAGAGTGGGAATAAATCGAAAGCAAAACAATGGGAAAGTAATTTCAGCAATTGAATAGCAAGAGGTACACATACCGCGTAGGAATAGATTGTGTTCCACGCCTACCAAAACGGGAAGTATAAAGAAATGCTTCAATACTTCAGCGCTTGGTAATATTGAACGTGTGCCGATACCAGCTGCAAAGGACGCCTGCTGTGAGTGATGTGGTAGAAGTTTGGCCAGCCGCGCAAGTAGCACCCAATCTTCTCTGTCTCCGCTGGTGGGTCCGGCGTTGTGACCCGGGAGATGCGGGCTGGTGGGGAGCAGCGTCCCCTGACACCGACAACCAGCGGCAGCTGACAGACGATACCACACAGCAGAGAAGGCGCCGGGTGCGACACAAAGAGTCCCTGGCCGCCGCCCCCATGGTGACCGGAGACCACGGCGCGGGCGGGCAGCGGACAAAGCCGGCACGAGCAGGGGAGGCGCGCCGTGCGGGCCGCAGTGACTATCATGGCGCATCTGAGACGCCCGCTGCGGGGACGGCTGGTGGCGCTGAGTGAGATGGAACAGTAGCTCGTGACAGGGACAGCAAACTACGGGAGAGGAGACTCGGGATAGCCAGAGAGTACAGACTGTTCGGTAATACGGCGGCGAATTCGACACCTTTGAATGTTTGAATTGCAAGCGCCTCCTGTCGTTTGAACAAAATGAAAGGTCCAAAAGCATCCCTATGGACGTTTTAATTCCTTCCATAATTTTGCATCGTTAAATATACATTTGGTGTCACTGCTCCTACCGTAAGTAAGGAAACATTATGTTGCGCATGCCACGTTATGTGTGAACACTCAGCACCAGCATATCCTCTCAGAGTAACGCATATCAGATCGACAGCCACCATGCCACTTACCATTCTTCATTTATCCCGGATCTCTCGCCAAATCTCTGAATAATCTCTCGAATCGCCCCGTATTATCATGCTATCACCAGGCGCTCTCGTCCAGCAAAGAACCGTCAGCCGCTGAGCGCCTCTGCTCCTTGGGCGCGCCATCGATCGCCGCCAAATCCGTGGACCAACAGTCGTCGTCGGGCCGCGCGCCGATCTCATCAGCCGCTAGTGCCACTGCACACAGACGGCGCGCGCGCCGCCGTCCCCTTTGTTACGATAATTGCTCACCTCTCTCCGGGCGAGTGGTGCCGTAATTGTCTATAATGCGCCAGGATCACCGGCGCTCGTTATTGCAGCCGCGCTGCGCCGCCGCCGCCGACGCGGGCCGACGGACCGTCGTGTCGGCGCCTCCCATTGAGGAGGACGATGTCGGCAGCGGTGGAGCCTCATTAGCGACGGCCCCACAAAGGCCGCTGTTTGGGCTGGTTTGTCGCGCTTTGTCGCCGCCGCTGGAGCGCCACGCGCCGCGCCGCGGACGGACCGTGGCGCGCGCTGCGGGAGCCGCGGGGTCAGCCTCACAGGAGAACGGGGAGGATCGGGGAGCATTGGGGAGAACCTCCAATCCCTCCGCCCGACACGGGGATACGGCATAGGTCCGAAATGTGCCGTCGGCAGGGTACGGGCTGGCGAAGCGGACAGAAAATGGATATTACGAGTATTCCATTCCACTGCCAGTCCTATGAATTGTGCGCTGTGCAGCCCCAAGTAAAGTAAGCAAAACATATCCCTCCCGGGTTTTCTCGGTTGTACTCACCGTTCGGGTACATGTTGTGCAGTTTCAGGTAGCTGATGGTCTGCCGGATGATGCTCGCCTTGTCAAGCTGGCTGCTGATGGCTGAACTCAGCGGCAGCAGACGGCCCAGCTGCTCAAACTCAGAGTTCTCCTTCTCGCGTCGGCTGCGCGCAGCGTTCTTGCTCTTCTCCTTCATTGCGCCGGCAGGTGTGAAGGACTGTGACGGTCAGCAGAGGCGTTAGCAGGTGAGCCGAGTCCGTCAGACTCCTCCGCTGGGTGTGGAGGAGATCCCTCAGCAGACGCCGCTGTCCGGAAGCTGCAGCAGCTGCGGCTGGCTGCCGTCTGCGGTGGGTTCTGACTGGTGTTCTTTGCTGCTGAGGACACCTGACGGCCGGCAGGGTCCACTACCGGCTCATCTGGAGGTGCCGGACGGTGACACACAACTGCGGCGGACCGGGCTACCGAGCGGGTCACGGTGCCTCTCCGGACGGCCCCCGACCTCAGCCCCCGACCCCGGCCAGGTCTGAGACGATCGGCCGCCGCCTGCTGCCTCTGAAATGAACACAACAGTTAATATTCCAATTGTGGAGCCCTTGATGAAACACAGAACACTGGACAATGGACCTCGGGAGCAGGCGAATAATTCATACGCACGGTCTGCCAGCGGGCCCGGCCGGCGGAGAGGCGAACTAGTGCCGTCACTCGGCGCGGGAGAGGGAGAGGGGGAGTCGGCAATCTTGGGGAGAGGTAGGAGAGCCGGTCGGGAACAGCTCAACGGCAGAGTGAACTGCGCCAACTGCGGTGCTAAGCGGCCGGCTCATTTTGCGGTTTTTACTCTCCAGCTCGGTGATGTTTCATAGTTCACCCCCAGAAATCCCACCGAGCAGTTCTTTCTCGTTTCAATTTCGTTATGGTGCGCTACTGGGATTGATTTATTGTTCCGTAAGCTCAGTCTATGGCCTTGCATTAGCACTTTGTCAAACACATTAACGGATGGTAGTGAGGGGTGCGTAGTTCAAACAGTAAACGCGGATAACGTCATCCCAAGGAGTAAGATCATCTGAGGGGTTTCAGGTATGAAATGAGAAGTCCTGTCGCAATCCATTTCATATAATACGTTCGAGCAGCGAAAGATTCAAATATCTTTCGCAACTTTCTATAAGGCGAGAGTATCCAAGATCAATTGGTATATGACGCCTCACTCTGCCAACAGGATTCCTGTTAGTGAGTAATTATAACGCCAGAAAAAGTTTCCCCGATGCTCTGTACGGGGGCAGATATTTGTCCCGCAAGATTCAGGCATAGGCGCAGGATTCAGGATTCGGACAAGAATCGGCTAGGATTCGGACAATAAGTAGGGGAGAGCGGGGTCATTTGGCCGCCCGGGTCACTTTGGCCGCCCGATGTCTACGCGTTTTGACGGTCCCGAGCGATTATTTTTTAACCCTCGCCCTGGCAGGGCATTTTTCATAACACGGCCTGGCAGGGGGGGGGGGGGTCGATGTGACCCCCCCTCGCGATTGGCTCCTATGGCACCTAGAAACACCAAATTTGGTAGGTAGGTGGGCCCCCTGGAGTTCTCGCCCCTGTGCAAATTTGGTTGCTCTAGGTCAATATTTAGGGGGGTTTTGGGGGTATAAATGTAAAAATTTCGCTAAAAACAGGTCAAAAGTTTTTCGCTTATAACTTTTGATCTAATTAAGATAGAGCAAAATGAAAAGCACCAGTGAACTCAGCACGTCAAGGCGCGTCGAATGATATACTTGTTAGCTTGCTTAAGTGTACTTAAAGTTTTTCTTAAATTTTAAGTAAACTTAAATTAGTAAATTAAGTTCAAGTTAACCAAATTGCATCATATCGTATATCATTCGATTCGGCTGATCACCAGGAACACAATGATACCATTTTTTAAGCTCTAGCGTCATTATGTGCCAAGTTATTGGCAAAAACGTCATTTGACCTCAGTTGACCTCATTTGACCTGACCCATGGATAAGAACACCAAACAAAGAAGCACCAAGTGACCTGCTGTTAAGTACTGTAGTTTCAAAGCACAAAAGTGATAGAACAAAGCGGATATCTCCAGTATTTTCCGAATTTAGTATTTTCCCATAGGCTTAACATTACGACGTAATGACCTCTAACTGACCTCAGGTCAGTGACCTCAAAAAAGCCGGACTATATGTTATACAACTCGGTAAACTTAGCACATCCTGAAAGTTTGAAGGAAATCAGTCCAAAACTGTGCGTTGGACAGGTGCAAAAAGAAAATTGAGATTTGACCATGACCTTGTACCGGTTTTTCTGAACTGGTGACCTGACCCAAGGTCACCTGGACCTGGAATTTTCAGGTTATGTGTAAAAAGGTTGCCCCATAAGCTGTGCCAAATTTGGCGGCGCTGCGCGCCGCCGTTTTTACGCTATCTTTGAAAAACCTTAGGGGGGGGTCGCATCGACCCCCCCCCCTGCCAGGGCGAGGGTTAATATGGCACCATCCGCCGTCATAAAAACTACTTTGGAAAGAAACTAAGGAAACTCGGCGACGCCCAGTTTTTTGTAAAGCCAACGATATTTGAATTTTGGCTAAAAATCGTAACTTTTTCTTCTTTACGAAAAGTTGCATGGTGTCCCTTATTTGGGTGACATCAAAATTTTAACTCTATTGGTAGAACAATCTGGTGATTCAGGGAGCTGTCTGACCCTTTTGCAAGTTTAAGTAACAATTTTTGATTGTCTGCGGAACCCTTTTCCTAAAAATGTCATATTGGGGTAAATTGGCCGCCCCATACGGGGCGAATTGACCGCCCAGCGACTCAGTTGATTTTTTGCCTAGTCTGCGAGCGACGCGCTGCGCTAAGTTCTGCCGCTGAGGATGGTAATGCGGCGCAGTCTAAATGCAAGGGACGACCTAACCAAGGTGTCCGCTGATTGGCTTTCGGCACCCGGCGACAGATGGCGAACCCGGGACGTCACATCGACCTCTACCAGGTGGCGTCGATTTTTCGTCGTGCCTTAAACGCCACCTTCACGCGGAAGAACATCCTTAAGGGATTCGAAGCGGCCGGGATATCCCGCTATACCGGGATATCTTCGACGACGAAGACTGCGCCGACGGCGGTCTTCGCACCGGTCGTCGCCCCAGCGACGGCAGATCAGCACGCCGCGGCCCCGGCCGTGCTCCAGCCGCCTGCCGCGGCTGTGCTCCAGCCGCCAGCCCCGGGGCCGGCCGTGCTCCAGCTGCCTGCCGCGGCCGTGCTCCAGCCGCCTGCTGTCGCCGTGTCTTAGTTGCTTGTCGGAAGCCCAGAGTCGAACCATCGAACGTCGGGAGCTGGACCGTCGAAGAAACAGGGGCGCGAAGGTGAAAAACAGTGAAGCGCAGTGATGACTGGACATGTGTCCATGTCGTCGGGACCGTATTTTATAGTGGATGTGATCTGAAGTACTGGGTCGAAGACGGGGCCTGCTAGAATCGTTTTTATTTCGTGTTTACGACAGAGTTTGAAATAAACAAACAACTCGTGCACAAAGGACTTTTTGCAGTGCGATTGTTGTCTATAGCAATCTACGATTTGGCAGCCATTACAGTTGGCTGTTGTTATCACTGGGCAGTGCTCAACTCATGAGTCGTAAGCTCGTAAATCAAATGTGGCTCCTCACTCGCACTGATTCAAATGAATCGAGTGTAAGCCTAGTCCTTTGAAAAATTAAGGATTTCAGGCGAATCAAAGATGAGTCACGAATACGATGCTAATCATTTGTGTCAGCATTGGGGCATCTGAATCGTCACATCAGTCATGCGTCGAGTCAATCCAGAATTCATGAGTTAAGCACAATCTGGGGCGTCAATATTTCAGGTTGCCTCAGCTCTGTAATGGGTATATCTCTGAATCACATGCCCGGCCAAATGACCCCACTCCCCCGGCCAAATGACCCCGGTACCGGGGTCACTTGGCCGCCGTGCAGTCTTTGAAAGAACGGTTAATTACTACCGAAACGAGGTGTCCCGGAATGATGCAAGTAACAGGCCGGAACAACAATTGAACGCCCCACACCCCTCCATGGAGAAATCGACCAAACGCGCACTGGTTTTCTCAAAATATCGTTTTTACAAAAAGGCGGCCAAATCGCCCCGCTCTCCCTTACTCAGGCTGAATTCGGCCGGGACTCGGTCAGAATTCGTGAGCCGGCCGGGCCACGCCCGGCCGGCGATGACAAACTGCCGCCGCCACCCGGGAAATGGGCTCCATCATCGGCGCGCTCAATCCGACGGCCGGTCTGTTTGGGTTGGCCGCTCCGTGTCGCTTGCCGAGCCATTTGTCAGCGGTGTATGCGGCGGAGAGGCGCCGGCGAAAAACGCCCTCCGAGGCCGCGCACCACCGGCCGGCGCGACGATCTGTTTGGGTTGGATGCGACGGCAGGACGCGTCACCGTGTGAAATATTGGAATCGCCGGCGAAAGCACAGCGAAAGTGTAGTAGATGAGCGAATCTGATTTCTGAAAGACTTCAGTTCTACGTATTTTCCAGCATATTGTAATAGTGCTTGCAGAAGAGATATTGTCTATGCATTTTGTTTTTCATAAGTACGCTCTAACGTTTCTTTCCGGCCTATGTAAATGTTGAGCAACCAGAAGTCAAACACAGCCCTATGTTACAGCAGAGTGGCTGTACACTGAGCAGGGCTGCAGTGGGCTGCGAACTGCAGACTGAAACAACAAACAAGCTGTTTGTTGACATGTTCACTAAGCTGTTGTGACTGAAAACCAGCTTACGATAGTCAAAATCCTTTGGCAATTCACCCTGGTTATCATGGTCAAAGGCAACGAGCTATGCACGTGAACGAGAAGAGAAACCAAAGCAAGCATCGAGCAGGTAATGCCTAATTAATTTCAAAATTAAAAATACTCTTAGGTGACCGGCCTCCTTGACAACATCCGCCCTTGACCAATTATTGCAGGATAATATACCTATGCACAAATATTTAGAATAAGAAAATCTTTGCACATCCTCAGCGGCTTGCTTTTACCGCATGATACCTCTGAATGCTACTTACATCAAACCACAGATACCTACCAGTAGTAAGTAGTATTACTTTTATCTTTGATCAAACACATGCTAGTAGAATAATAACAATTTTTTTCACAATGAGCCCTCCGAGCAGGGTTGTTGTCTGGTGATATTTTATTAACCCTCGCACGACCAGGCCATTTCTCATAACACGAACGACCAGGGGGGGGGGGGTTGTTACGACCCCCCCCGGCGTTTCGAAACGGAAGGTCGTAGAGCTTAGCGGAAAAAAACCAACGGATTGCTCTCAACGAGATCTCGCGATTGGTGGTATATTTTTTGGTCCTAAGTCAACATTTGACCTACTTTTGACCGGTCAAAGGTCAAATTTTCGGAAAAATAGATTTTTTCAACTTTCGGCGGCGATTGCGGCAAAACGGTGGGAGATATCGACATGAAACCTTCACTATCGTGTTCCTTGATCAATTCTCTATCGTTTGGTATGTATTTCGTTTCCCTAGCTCTAAAAATGGCGCGTTGGGAGCGCC